GTTGCTTTCGTTACAATTAAAACTTAATTAAGTCTAATTTAATTAGGCTTACACTCCTGAAACGCACTGTACTTGCTATGGCAACTCTGGGCTAAAGAAACCCCGCAGTGAAAAGTCTTTTGGCTTGTCAAATAGCGCGAAAACTTTTCAAATAGCGTCGCTAGCCGCCAGTTTTTCGTGCACTTCCACCCGTTTTCCGCCCGCTTTCCACCCGCTTTCCACACGCTCTTCCGCCCCCACTTCACCACCTTTTCCACTAGCCTTTTGTTAGCGAGCATTGGCCCATTCAATGCATTTCGTCTCTCTGAATGGAGGCTCTTGAGATTCATTTTCTTTCATTTTCCCCATAATTATGGCAAAGAAATATACGAAAAACACGCCCCAACGCCTGCAGATGAGTTTCTTCGCGTTCCTAGGGATTTTACCCGGCCTACCGAAAAGAAAAACACCAAGTCTTGGAACATGAAAACAAAAAAAAACTTCGACTGCACTTTGGGCAATGAAAATGTTAAAACAATCGATCGGCGAAAGGGCACGCCCATTATTAAGGGCTAAATCAACCCAATTTTCAAGTCGGACGATGTCAGGTGAAATTACTTTATAATCTTGTTGATTGCTGATTGCACTTTTAAAGCTCCGTCGAATAACGAATTTAAATCCCCATAAATCCTGATTGCTTGTCACTATCCAATGGAATTGACAACCTATTTGGGGCATTGCAATGCGTGTTAAATAATTGAATTGCTGAGTGTTCAATAAGAAAGTTGTTTAATTATTCAAACGGCCCAACATGTTGGGTTCTCGAAATTGTAAACAATCGTATCTAGCACGGGCTGAAAGTGCATTGCTTGAGGAAAAAACAAGATGGAATGCTATAGTCGAGTTCCCCGACTATCAGATACCCGTTTTTCAGCTAGTGGAAGTGCAAACGAAAAATTTCAACATTTTGTGGAATATCGGTAAGATGAGTTGAGTTATGGACTTTAGAACTTCAGTCTTGGGACAGTTTTGAGGTTCTACATCAGAGGTTCTACAATTACAAAAAAAATATACAAAAAAAAATTTTAAAAATTAAATTTTAAATTTGAGTGCAGATTTTTAGAGAATTGCGCCAGAAATATTAAGAGGTATACCACTTCAAAATCCGATTACTACAAGTTGAGATATGAAGCTTTGAACTTTCGCCTTAGGACGTTTCTTAATTTTTGAATTTCTACAACATCATCACATCAAAAAAATTACAAAAAAATTAAAAAAAAAAAATTTCTAAATTTGAATGCAGATTTTTAGAGGATTTCACCAGAAACATTTAGAGGTATGCCACTTCAAAATCCGATTAATACAAGTTGAGTTATGGACTTTAGAACTTCAGTCATGGGACAGTTTTGAGGTTCTACAGCATCATCACATCAGAAAAATTACAAAAAAAAATACAAAAAAAATTTTAAAAAATTAAATTTTAAATTTGAATGCAGATTTTTAGAGAATTGCGCCAGAAACATTTAGAGGTATGCCACTTCAAAATCCGATTAATACAAGTTGAGATATGAAGCTTTGAACTTTCGCCTTAGGACGTTTCTTAATTTTTGAATTTCTACAACATCATCACATCAAAAAAATTACAAAAAAATTAAAAAAAAAAAATTTCTAAATTTGAATGCAGATTTTTAGAGAATTGCGCCAGAAACATTTAGAGGTATGCCACTTCAAAATCCGATTAATACAAGTTGAGATATGAAGCTTTGAACTTTCGCCTTAGGACGTTTCTTAATTTTTGAATTTCTACAACATCATCACATCAAAAAAATTACAAAAAAATTAAAAAAAAAAAAAATTTCTAAATTTGAATGCAGATTTTTAGAGGATTTCACCAGAAACATTTAGAGGTATGCCACTTCAAAATCCGATTAATACAAGTTGAGTTATGGACTTTAGAACTTCAGTCATGGGACAGTTTTGAGGTTCTACAGCATCATCACATCAGAAAAATTACAAAAAAAAATACAAAAAAAATTTTAAAAAATTAAATTTTAAATTTGAATGCAGATTTTTAGAGAATTGCGCCAGAAACATTTAGAGGTATGCCACTTCAAAATCCGATTAATACAAGTTGAGATATGAAGCTTTGAACTTTCGCCTTAGGACGTTTCTTAATTTTTGAATTTCTACAACATCATCACATCAAAAAAATTACAAAAAAATTTAAAAAAAAAAATTTCTAAATTTGAATGCAGATTTTTAGAGGATTTCACCACAAACATTTAGAGGTATGCCACTTCAAAATCCGATTAATACAAGTTGAGTTATGGACTTTAGAACTTCAGTCATGGGACAGTTTTGAGGTTCTACAGCATCATCACATCAGAAAAATTACAAACAAAAATACAAAAAAAAATACAAAAAAAATTTTTAAAAATTAAATTTTAAATTTGAATGCAGATTTTTAGATAATTGCGCCAGAAGCATTTAGAGGTATGCCACTTTAAAATCCGATTAAGATAAGTTGAGTTATGGAGTTTACGACTTCAGCCTTGGGACTATTTTTTGAATTTTTTTTCAGACGGACATGGCCAGATCGACTCGGCTATTGATCCTGATCAAGAATATATACTTTATATAGTCGGAAACGCTTCCTTCTACCTGTTACATACTTTTCAACGAATATAGTATACCCTTTTACTCTACGAGTAATGGGTATAAATATGCCAAGGGCGTAATATAAAGATGTGTTTATTTGATGCAAGAACGTTTTGATTACCAACTCTATTGATTTCGGCGCAATAATGTTTGTGAGCTCTACGCTGCTACACACTGCAAACTGAAACTTGGGAAGCCACTTTCCTGACTGTAATTAAATTTGAGTTACTTTCTGAGGCGCTTCGGACTGATGCTAACTTTAAATTGCACAAGTATTTAATCAGGTCCCTGAGGCCCTAGCCCTTAACCCCTAACCCCTAACCCCTAACCCCTTAACCCCTGGCCACCGCATTTTAACCCGCACGCTGCAACTGCTGCCAAGTGACCCAAATCAGGGTCTGCCATCTGCAGTGCTCCTCTGCTTGGAGACGCAGAGGAGCGGGATCCAGCATCCAGCATCCAGCCATCAGCCAGTTGGTTATCCAATCCACTTCAAACCCAAACCAAACCAAACCCATCCAATCCAAAACCAAACCATTCCCAATCCTTTGCTCCTCCACCGGCTTCTCAGTCGACTTTTGGAGGGGCTTTTGCGCTTAGTTAGCTTAATTACGAGCGCGAGCTGAGAATCGCATCGCTGCGGCGATAAGCATCGATTGGGATCGCCAAAACGAGTACTTTGCAAATAAGCAGTGAATTCAAGGCCCTCAAATGGGCCACAATAGTGTGTCTGCAGTCTGAAATATCTTAATTACTTGATAATATATTCCACATATATATATCTATCGTTGGTTTTTTTGCGCTTTGCAACTGCTTAGTCGCAAACTTTTCGCTTATGGGGCACTTTGTCTGAAGCTGGCGCTTATGCAACCAAAATATTGAGCAGTACCAAGCCAAAGGAATGCCCCTAGGGATGAAGAAATGCAGAGATGGATAGCTGGGAAGTGTGGGCTGAAGTACATCCTGCATGCATATGTGTGCAGCGACTACTGGCGAAATTGAAATTCTTATGAAATTATATAAAATGCACTCAAAGGCATTTTTGGGGCAGCTTAGCAACACAAGCAACATGAACAACATGAGCTACATGAGCAACTTTTGGGACACTTTTGGGGGTTTGCGGGCTTGTTTACGCAATTCCGGAACGGGGAAAAATAAAACTTGTGAAAAAATAGCGAATGACAACATGGAATGCGCCATTTGCAATGCAACCAAGACAGGAAGAAATCATAATTTGTGGTGTCATTGTCATTGAAGTAATTTACATTCCGTTTGGCCTTGGCGACAAATGGCGCAGAAGGAAAAGCTGTGATTCCGCCATTAAAATATGCAGCTCTAGTTTTGGCCGGAAAGCTTGTTTTCCACGAAACGCGCCACTAATTATTATTATTTTTTTTTTTTTGGGAATTACTCCATCGCTCCATGTGCCATAAGAAAAGCAAAATCGTGGTCCATTCATGAGTACTCAGCAGAACCCTTAGTCTTTCATAAAAGGTGTTAGCTGCGCACTTTTAATCTCTTCCTTGTGCAGAGATTACAATTCTCCGAAAGGAACCGACACGTAAATTGGAAAAGGGCCAGTGCAACTCTGGGAATTGGAATTCATCACACTACCCGTAATTCCGCTTACACAAGAAGAAAAGGTGTGCCAGCCACTTCAATGCGTTATTGAAATCATGGGGCGGTGCAAATCGACAGTATTTGAAATATGGTAACAAATCACTGTTCTCTTTTTCTGCGTGTATGTGGTGCTCCTGGCCATTTTGCCATTTCGCCAGACATAATCCCGACAATCGGTGCGATGTACGAGTGCGATTGCGAATGTGAATGTGAATGCGAATGCGAGTACAAATACGAATGCGAATGCGAATGCCAATGATGATGTGTGTACATATGGCGGCATAGAGCACTGCAAGTGCAGCGTGTGGGCGTGATGTTTGCACTCCGGTGCAGCGGGGCTATAAATAAGCCGGGTATTTATTAGGGGCAATCATAAACTGCGTTAACGAAGGCCACTCTGCCAACGTGAATAAGATCCGGTAAACAAAGGAGCCACTCGATATGTCTTATTGTGCGATAAGCTTTCAATTAAATCTGACCCGGATAACGGGGCGTATGGGTGCTGGAAATCGGAAACGGAAACGGAAACGCAAACGTAAACGGAAGCGGAAATGCAAATGGAAAGGGATCAATTTCTAATTGCAGCCAGGGCAACCATATCCATGGCTCCAATGCTAATATCCGAAGACAAAGCTCCGTGTGCCCTTGCAAACCAATTTGTTGTGTATTAGAAGTAAGACGAGAAAGGTTAATCTGGTTGGGTCTTTAAAAACGTTAATACTGAATAAATCTTTCGATTGCAGCACATTTACTATGTGGTCGATGGCAAAATGACCCTCCTGTCGAACATTCTCGACTGCGGAGGCTGTATTTCCGCCCAGCGCTTCACCCGTCTGCTGCGCCAGTCCGGCTCATCGGTACCATCCCCATCTGCACCGGCGCCCGGAACATTTGAATCCATATCCATGCTGGAGCCGACATCCTTGCACAGTTTGCCGACCGGACGAGTGCCGCTGCTGCACGATTTCGATGCCTCGACAACGGAATCGCCGGGAACCTATGTCCTCGATGGGGTCGCCCGGGTGGCCCAATTGGCCCTGGAGCCCACCGTCATGGACGGCCTGCCGGATCCGGACACGGAACAAGTACTCAGTAATCTCAACAGCAGCGCGCCCTGGAATCTAACGCTTTCATCGGCGGCGGCCACCAATTTTGAGAACTGCTCGGCTCTTTTTGTCAATTATACCCTACCACAAACAGGTACATAATCTTACGAAAATCAAAAAAAATATATCATATATCAAATTTGTAATGCCCGGACAGGACTCTACTGCAATTGGACCTGGGATACATTGCTCTGCTGGCCACCCACTCCGGCCGGAGTCCTGGCACGGATGAATTGTCCGGGCGGCTTTCATGGCGTTGATACGCGCAGTAAGTAATTGCAAAGCAGTGTTAGGGAATCACTATTTGGCACCCAAAATGCTCGAGTGGGATTTGACATAATTCATTTTCCAAGGTATTTTGAAACTGTTTAGCTGGCAGCCACACAGAAGCGATTATCTGTTTGCCAGATTTATGACTTTTGCGGGCTTATTAAGATGGTTAGCACCATCCACATAACATCTCTGGCGGTCACAATCATACGGATCATTAGCTGGGAATCAGTTCAAGTGCTGCACAGCAAACAATTACTTGATTCCGTATTCATCGAAAGGATGTCAATATTTACATGCATGACTGGGGCGTCCATTCAACCGCACGCCCATTCGGCGTCGCCTTACCCCAACCTCCTTGCACCAGATAACCTATATATCCCCACGAGGTCACTACGAAACTGGGCCGAAAGTGGGCGTGGACATCGCCAACGGCTGACCAGGTGTTTCATATTCACCCGAGCTTCGTCATTTTAATAGGGTTTAAAACACCAGCCAATCGATGGCTTAATTACGATCCTAAATGGTTGCGACCCCTTCGATAAATTAAACGTTCTGCAAAAGGGAATTGCTATTTAATAACCATGGGCGAAATGCACTGAGGAAATAGATTTTGAGTAGCTGATTTACCACTAAAATGTTCTGGACTTTAAATGCTTTTCCTTCAGCACTACTGAATATATTCCTAGCCTTTGTAGTGTAAAATATGGGTATATCAAAACATATATTTGGAAAACTGTCAAAGACATGTAGAGATGAACGGATTCTTCCAGTGCATTATTGCAATGGCCTCATTTCTCCGGGCCGTGTCTAGATTTTTAGCCCCGAGGTCGCCCATTCGATTGGCATAATTGCACTTGTCAGCCAGAGTATCATAGCTCGATTGCTGTCATTAATCCGAGCTCAACCCCTCTTTTTTGATTTCGCAGAATTCGCCATCCGAAAGTGCGAGCTGGATGGCCGATGGGGCAGCAGGCCAAATGCCACGGAGGTGAGTCCGCCGGGATGGACGGACTACGGACCGTGTTACAAGCCGGAGATTATCCGCCTCATGCAGCAGATGGGCAGCAAGGACTTCGATGTGAGTTGAATTCCAACCAAACTACATATTGCAGGAATCATAACCGCTGTGCCTGTTGTAGTTAAAAGTATTGTATAAATCCCAAAAGTTGTTTGCCAAACGAAACACAAATATCAACCGCAGGCTTTTGAAATGACCTACTTAGTATGTTAAAGATATAATTCACAGCACACTTTTAGGCACTGTTAAAGGTGATTTCAAATGCCCGGTTACTTTAGTGTATATGTAATCATTGATGATTTTAATTCCACTTCTATCAATTGGTTAGGCATACATAGACATAGCCAGGAGGACTAGGACCCTGGAGATCGTGGGCCTCTGCATCTCCCTGTTCGCCCTGATAGTTTCACTGCTGATCTTCTGCACATTTCGCTCCCTGCGAAACAATCGCACCAAGATCCACAAGAACCTCTTCGTCGCCATGGTGCTGCAGGTGATCATCCGCCTGACCCTGTATCTCGATCAGTTCCGGCGGGGAAACAAGGAGGCGGCGACCAACACCAGTCTCTCCGCCATTGAGAACACGGTAGGCTTAACACGAGTGTAGACTTAACCTATATATAGACACTTTGCAAGGAGATTCCCAAACAGAGTACTCAAGTTTGATATTGTGTGTTCTACAGCCGTATTTGTGCGAGGCATCCTATGTACTTCTGGAGTACGCTCGTACCGCCATGTTCATGTGGATGTTCATCGAGGGCCTTTATCTGCACAACATGGTCACGGTAGCCGTGTTCCAGGGCAGCTTTCCCCTCAAGTTCTTCTCGCGACTTGGCTGGTGTGTGCCCATTCTGATGACCACCGTGTGGGCGAGATGCACGGTTATGTATATGGACACCTCGCTGGGCGAATGCTTGTGGAACTATAATCTCACGCCCTACTACTGGATCCTCGAGGGACCACGACTAGCGGTTATACTGGTGGGTATTATCAACTGCCTAATCGACTTAATTGGCTCAATCCCTTATTCACCCAACTAAAACCATTCACATGCAGCTTAACTTCTGTTTCCTGGTGAACATTATCCGAGTGCTGGTGATGAAGCTACGTCAATCGCAGGCCAGCGACATTGAACAGACTCGCAAAGCCGTTAGAGCGGCTATAGTCCTACTACCACTTTTGGGTATAACCAATATCCTGCACCAGCTGGCTCCTCTGAAAACGGCCACGAATTTCGCTGTGTGGTCGTATGGCACCCACTTTCTCACCTCGTTTCAGGGATTTTTTATAGCGCTAATTTACTGCTTTCTAAATGGCGAGGTAAGTCAATCTATATCCGCGTAATCAATTACGCTTTAATATCCCTAAAACCCTCACTTTGGAATCCTGTAACTCCAAATATTGCATATATATATTTGTAAGGTTCGTGCCGTGCTCCTCAAGAGTCTGGCCACCCAGCTGTCGGTGCGAGGCCATCCGGAGTGGGCGCCAAAAAGGGCATCTATGTACTCGGGGGCTTATAACACGGCGCCGGATACGGATGCAGTGCAGCCTGCTGGAGATCCATCGGCCACTGGGAAGCGGTAAGCATTTCGGCTTCGTGGACAAACCAATTTGGAACCTTTTAAATCATTTGCAAAAACACCCAGAATATCACCGCCGAACAAGAGGCTGAATGGAAGGAAGCCGAGCAGCGCCAGCATTGTGATGATCCACGAGCCTCAACAGCGCCAGCGACTGATGCCCCGGCTCCAAAACAAGGCGCGGGAAAAGGGCAAGGAGCGGGTGGAGAAGACGGATAAGGAAGCGGAGCCAGAGCCGGATCCGGCCATCTCTCGAATTCACAGCAAGGAAGCGGACAGAGCGAGATCGCGGACTCGCGGCTCCAAGTGGATAATGGGCATCTGCTTCCGGGGTCAAAAGGTACTGAGAGTACCGTCAGCGTCATCCGTGCCACCCGAGTCAGTTGTATTTGAGTTGTCAGAGCAGTAGACCAAAAACCTAGCCTAAACTAGTAGATGTAGCCAATAGCCATAGCCGTAGCCAAAATAGCCGTAGAAGTAGCCAACGCCATGTAGCCACCACCACAGTAGCCAGCAAGCACCAACCTTACATCGGACTGGAAATGCCCCCCAAAAAAGATAACCCAAAACCCGATTAATCCTGCATCTCCCATCGACTCACAAAGAAAGCAAGCTGGAGACAGCGCATACATATGTACATATATGTAAATTTCCCCCAACAAAATATTGCAGATATCTAATTCCTAAGATCATTTCGAACCGAAAGTAAGCTCATGGTTTTATTTCAATAGTTATTTTCGCTTTTCTTCCTTGCTCCCCAGTAATTATGTACATAAACGTTATGCCTCCTACAAGCCAGTTCCAATCCATCCAAACACTATAAACCACCTGTCCTATTGAAATTGGCGAATGCTGCGTAAATTCAAATTTCCTTACCAGTTTAACAAAATACTTTTGATGACAATAAATTTCCACTAGCGTCACCTTCTGTTCTGGACACGCAAATACACTCAAAAAAACACTCGCACACGGTTATTACTCGATGAATTTTCCAGCAAAACTTCAGCGGCATGTTCTTTCTACTTCTATTCATATTTAAATATTAGATTGAAATATTCAAGTGAATTAACACAAACTTGCGGTAACTGTGCAGTGTGGCCAGACATGATGGCCCATTCAAACTTATTGTTTATATTTATATTTTGCCCAATTTGACATTGTATAAAGAAACTCACCTTTGATCAACTGTTGAATTTGCCGTCTTTCTCATTGGCTTATGTATTCCCTTATTTAGTTTTAAGCTTGGTTAACGGCTTTCCTAATGGTTTTAACCATATTTATTACATTGTTTATTATTACTCCTCCTCCTGTTTACACTTCTGTTTACACTTTCTGTTTCGCAGCTGGTCACACTGCCAGTTGCGATCGAACACGTGCATTGCCATGCCTTGAATTTTGCTAGCTGCGCTTTGTTTTGCAACGAAAACTTTGCCACGATCAATATTAAACTAATGGGGTCCGCAATCGGAGACACATAAATGCAATAAATATCTTTTCGGCTATTCTCTCGTCCTCGTTTCCCACACAAATGCGGCACTTTTGGCGGACTTTCGATTTCCTCTTTCTCGCCTTTCGTTTGCAGGACAAATGTGTGATGCCGGGCTCGCAAAAGACGCAGCAAATATTCATGACGTCACAAATGCCGCCGACATCGACGCTGGCAGTGGTAGCAACGACAATGGCCACAACAGCGACCACAACAACAAGTGCAGCGGCAGCCAAAACAACAATAGCATCCATTGCAACCATCGCCACAATAACAAAGTCGAAGGCAAAAGCTAAAGCGATTTCAAAGAGCCATTAAATGTTAATGCCGAAAGCAGGATAGTGCATCTCGCTCTCTTTCCCGCAGACACACACCGAAACACAAATCACAAAACACACGGCCATCCGCAGGCGTAACTGTTCTTAAACTAACTAAAATGCTGCGCAGTACGCTCTCCGTTTTGCAAGCCGCGGCGTTCACTGCACGGCGATAGGTTCGATAAATCGATATCGATCGACATGCATACACACACATATGTATATCCTATATTTTTGTATATTCACCAACAACAAACAGTTGGGTCACCGTTTTTTTTTGCACATGTGTAAGGAGTGTGCTGATGAATGTAAGTGTTAATCGTTTTTTTTGTCTAAATAAGCTCAATATACATACATAAATGTAACGGTATTTACAAGAGCATAGATAAAGCATACATATTTACATACCTGTTATTTACACGGACGCAAGCAGAGGAGAAATGTCGGAGTAGTTCGTATATACACATACATATATATGTATATATGAATATACATATGCACATAAGTACATAGTACGTGCGCATGCATGTACATTATGCACACACATAACGAGAGTACAAAGCACTTGGAATGGTAACGAGGAACAAACAGAAACAAACGGAAATTTAAATTGAAATTTAACGTATCACGATGTCAGATCATCTGATCTGCGATCAGTGGGAATGTTGCATATTCACCCTAGCTTTAAGCTTACCGTGCATTTTGATGTGGTATATCTTGTGTGGAATCGTGTTATTGTCTTTTTTTTTAGAAATTACATAGTTTTTGGTTTCCTACTCGCTTTACGCAATTTTCGAAACTAAGAATTCAAGCCGAATTTAAGAGAGAGTGTACCTAAGGAACTAGTACACCCCAATGGTCAATGGCAAACTATTATGTGTATAAGGCTAGATGGAAAATGAATAAACATGATTTTATATGCATACATCTAAACTACAATCGGTTGTCTACTTTCTTAATCTGGATCCCAAGATCTGAATACGAGATCCATTAGATTTGCCGTTTCGGACAGGCATGTGCCGCTCGTGAATCCCCCAATTGGGATGGCTAAATTGGCAATTTCAGCCCATAAGTAGCTCAATCCGATGCTTTGATGGACCATCAAATGAATACTATGGCGCAGATAGTGTGGCTATGTATTCAAGACACGAAGATTGGAATACCCTACATTTGGTTCGCCGTTCTCAATCGGATGTGATGTCCTCTAATTGCTATCCGACTGGCATATTGACAGTCTACTTACAACCTATTGAATACTTTATACTTGTACCGTATACTTGATATTTCTGCGTGACTTTCTGCGTATACTCGATTTCACACAAACACAACAGTTGACTGACTGACAATAGAAACCACAAGCATAGCGTTCACAAAGGTTACGATTACGGATTGTATTTCCAAGAACGACAAGTGGTACAACATCCGGATCACAACGAACGACAACAATAACGAGAGGTGATCTTTTCGAGGGAAGTGAGGTAGCAAAGTTGAGTGATGGGCGGTGATTGGTATTAGGTGGATGCAGTGGGTACAGTGGGATTGGGAGTGGGAGTGGCGTCTAGAAGAGCAGATCCTCGTCGCCGTCCTCGTCGAGGATATTCTGCACCTCCTTCGTTTCGGCCACTTGGCCCAGGCGACGCTGCTCCTCCCGAATCTTATCGGATGCCTTGCGAGCCTCGCGCTTCTTGTCCTGAATCTTCTTCAGTCGATAGAACTCCTCGCGCTCCAACTCGTCCAGCTCGCTGATGATGTACTCAATGGTGCGATTGATGCGGGGTATGATCACTGGAGAGCAGGGAAGCATTGGTATCATATCAGTGATGTATCGTTTAAGGGACCATTTTGAAACCCACCATGCTCGATGGCGTTGACCCGCCGATTGGTGACCTTGATGACATCGTCGAGGGTCACAAAGGAGGTCTGCAATGAGGCCAATTCGACGAGCAGACGGACGGCGCTCTGGTAGTTCTTCTTGAGCTTGGCCAACTGCTGGCCACCACGGGCCAGGCCGGCCAACTCATAGGTATCCACGCCATCCGTGTACGGTTCGAATACGGGCAGCGTAACCCCGGCCACATTGTCCTTCTTGGTGCGTATCTTGATCTGGGCCTTGGTCACGTTCTGCAGCACAATCTGGTTGATGTCGCCGGTGGTGAACTTGACCTCGGCCAAGGAGAAGGCGGCCTCCTTCATCACCTGACCCATGAGGGTTTTGGTCTGGAAAATGCGTAAGGTAGCAGGCAGGATCTTTGCTCCACATGGTTGCACGCTCACTCACCTCGATGATCTTGCCCAGAATCAGACGGAAGCGCATCTGCAGGGCGTCTGCCTTCTTCTTCAGCAGGCCATGCCCCTTGGTGGCGCCCGCCAAACGCGACTTCATCAGCGTTTGGGCACTACAATGGATGATTCAAAAGGAATGGCTTTTGGGATTTCAGGATTTCCGGATTTCAGGATCAACTACTCACCCGCGCGATGGGAATATGGGCAGGCGATCTTTGGCTGCCATTTGAATCAAACAAAAAATATGCCACCCAAAAAATAACAAGAGTACAACACGCACCACGCCAACCAAGTCCGAACTATAAATAACAACAACAAAATATTTACTAAATATACGCGACGACACTACGAAAATAAAATAGACGACAAAAAGCGCTGCTACAGCGGACAGAACAGCACGACAACCAACTGGGCCAGCGAATGAAGACTCATCGGGCGACCTGGCGAGAGAACAGCGATCTTGGGATGGCATCGCATCGGATCGGATCGGATCGGATTGGCTGGGGTGTGGGGACAATTTTGGGGGCTCGGGACTCGACTCGGGCCCCACTCAGCTGTTCAGTTCCGGAACAGCTGACGTTGATGAGCGATGATGAGAGGTATGTCCGCACCGCAAACACCTGTAACTCGGTGGTTCGTGGGTTTCGGGATATGAAACTTGGTATGTGCTCTGTAGACATTAAAATATAATGAAATATATCACAATACATGAAGAGTATCACAAATATAATGGCAATGAGTATGTACTGGTCGAAGGGGTTGAGCAACAATTGAAAACTGTCAGTAGTAACAATTAGTTAAGGCATTACGTGAACGAATTAATTAATTGGCATTCATAAAAGAATATTAAAGAACAATGAAAAGCAATAGTACCGAAAATATGCTGTTTGCATGGCTGGGCGAAATGATCGTTTTCAATTCCCAACATGTCACTGATTTGTCGGGCACTTGGTAAACTTTTCAAATCAAATTGCGCTCCCCATTATTACGAGTTTTCATACAATCCATACCTACCAAGTTTGCACCAACACCAAAATGGATTTGAAGAGCTGAACTCAACCCCATCCTGAAACGACAGGAATTTCGTCGTAGAACCACAGGGAATCCCAACTTCAAGGCCAGTTAGTGATGCCTTCTCACTTCGATAGTCACTCGATATTGACCGTTGGGGCACATTGCCTTCAATTGAGTCTGATTGCCGTCAATGGCGGCCAAGTAAAAGTAATAGCTGCCACACGCAGCTAAACGCACCGCGTCACTGCCACTGAAATACCTTTGTACTCCGGCAACGTCTCCGGGTCTCCAAGCTACGTACGTCCATCCGGAGCGGAGTCCCACTACTTGAATATGAGTCTTGTGCGGCTCATGCGGCTCGATTTCAATGTACACACGTCGTCTTTGCAGTGAAAGAAAAATCAAGAACGAGCAACTGCTAACTAGACTACTTTATGTCAGTTAGGAAATGAAGAGATACATATTCAGATAGAGATACGTACATAGTGAGCCCATGAGGCATGACAGCAGCGGAAAGATTTATTTCCAGTGCACTCCACCCAATTGGGCGGCAATACGTGTCCGCCCCAATTTGGCGCATCCATTAACCTTTTGCATATGCCCATCAGGGAGCAAAGTCAAAGTGTGTGGCCCTCTTGGTCAAAGCAACAGTTGTGCGGTGGGCGTGGTGCAGCCCCCGCTACTTAGATCCAAAATTCGACCTTATATCGTTTGCAAACTAGATAGTAGCTAAGTTATATCCAATACATGTGTCAATGGAAGACATTTCCCATCGCTTTTGAGTGCTTTTATGTCGATAGCGACACGAACTTTTCATCCTGCCTCCCATATATTGCGCGCCATAAAGCCGTTTGCATATGAGGAGGATTACACAGGATTTGCCACGTACTTAATGTGCCCACGTCCTGGTCGTTGAAAGTCAAAATCTGTGTATGTAGCGCGGGTGCGTCGGAGGTCGAGTCGAATCAACAGTTGGCACGTACATGCATACATATTTTCCGGGGCATCTGGGGCGGGGAAAACTCTCGATTTTGCTTCTGCTCCGGCCGGAGTCACGACCAGGCAATCGCTCCTGTTGCTCCAGTGTGTGTATGTTGCGTATACGCATGGCTGTCACTCGAAGGATGCCCCCGCCCCGCCTCCGACGCCACTTTCATCCCATCCCAGAGGACCACATTTTTCTCATGCTTCGGCAATGAGGCAAACACGAGGGCGTACACAGCGCCAAATGCGCGAGTAACTTTTGAATAACCATGGATACTGAGGAGAAGCGCTAGATTTTCAAGCACACTGACGTGTGTGTGTTTCAATTGGTTTTCGTACAAGGGGTGCAGCGCATTTTCTCGCAGTGCACCAACGGGATGCTGTCGCTGGCGCTTCGCTTGGTCGGCTGCTCCAGCTGCTCCAGTCGCAATTCGCATCCGAAAGCGCCCGCAAGTAGGTTACACATTTTTTTCGCAGCCTAGCCAACGCACCGCGGAACACAAACAACACCCGTCGTCCAGTTCATCCGATCCCAGTGGCCACAAAGGAACCGAGTAAGTGCAACCTAACTGCCAAATCCAACACGAAAACGGCTTAGCAGAGGTGACGCCGCCTGGGCTTCGGTGTCCAGCTGCAGTGGAGCTCCTGCTCCTCCTCCGCGCGGGTGGAGGGGATTGGGGCGGCTGTCGATGGGGGTGTGTCACTGGGGCATCGCCGTAAAAAACGAGTGAAAGTGCCGTGGGTGCGAGCGAGAGACAAGAGGTCGGGAGTTGAAAGGGCAGCCGGAGAGTGGCGACTAATTGAGTTATGGGGGCAAATTCGAGTACCAGCTACATACATATATGCGTGTACATAGACTTTGGCCAACGAAAATTGTACAAAATAGTGCTTAAATTTAGAGTGCTACCATACGGCATCTATATACGAATTAAGTTAATATCAGATCATTTAAATGGGCTCTTCCTTCAGAACTTCGTTACCATCCGCAGATCGAGCGATTCCAGCGGCTGTGCGAGCATGGAGTACAAAATGATTGGACCGGAACACTGTGACCAGGTGCTGGAGCACCTGCGTCGCAACTTCTTCGCCGACGAGCCGCTGAACAAGGCCGCCGGCCTGTGCCAAAACGGAAGCAGCTGCCCCGCCCTGGAGGCCCACTGCGCGGAGGCCATCATGGACCGGATGAGCGTGATGGCTGTGGATGCCAGAGATGCGAAGGAGAAGGGCAGCTGCAAAATAGTCGGCGTGGTCCTCAACGGCATCTTGAAGCCGGGCGACACGGCCAAAGCGCTGAGCAAACTGGATACCAATGGCGATGCCGATTTCCGCAAGATCTTCGACTTGCTGCACCGGCACAATCTCCAGCACAATCTCTTCGAGCACTTCGACGTGGAGTGCATGTTCGATGTGCGCATCCTGTCGGTGGACTCGTCTTACCGTGGCCAGGGCATTGCCAACGAGCTGGTCAAGCGATCAGTGGCGGTGGCCAGAAAGAATGGCTTCCGCCTGCTGAAGGCCGATGCCACCGGCATCTTTTCCCAGAAGATTTTCCGTTCCCATGGCTTCGTCGTCTTCTCGGAGCAACCCTATAGCAAGTACACCGATGGCGATGGCCAGGTGATCTTGCCCGTTGAGGCGCCACACATCAAGATGCAACAGCTCTACAAGGCGATCTGCGGCACGGACCAGGAGGAGAAGGAGCAGGCTCGTTAGGGCGACGACGGCGGCTGCCTGAGAACAATAATTTTGGAACAATAATCTTATTTATTTTCTACATGCATGCATCAACTTATTGGAATGTATTCGTACTACACAAATATGGAAATTGCTTTGGGGCGCGCCAAACGGAAAGTAAGCTAGGCATACAATTGTTATTGTTCTGCGTAAGCATAACTAAGATACATAAGTTTACTTTCCCTTGACAGTTTGTTTTTTTTTTCTGGAGCGCCAATGGATCGCCCCTATAAAGCAGACGCTGCCTGGCAAGTTTACATAGACGTGTGTAATTGTTTTTGGTTTTTTTTATGGGGACCAACTGCTAACAATACCTAAATAAAGTACACTGTTGTGCCAAAGTTAACCAAGCAGCGTTGTCATTTTACCACCCACACGCTCTCCTCCTAAAGACCTAATATCACAAGCGCAGATTGCAATCATGCCTTCTCATCACCTGGCAACCTGGCGACGGCAGGTACTCCAGTTCCTGTTCCTCTGGTTAATCCTCTGGTTGATCCTCTGGTCAATCCCCCATCTACTCGCTAGTTGCCTTCTGCTCGTATATGAAAATGATGTCCTCGTCGGTGCCGTAAGCGCGACGGGCTGTGTCCATGGACTCGATGAGGCAGCGACAAATGTCTGTGGAACGCAGCCAAGAACAAAAATCAATGAAATTTCCACGCCACAAGGGTGGGCCAATACTTACGGCCATCGTGAACTTCGGGATTGTGATAGAAGAGCTTCTGGGCGGCCATGTCGTAGCCGCAGAGCACCACATAGTGTCCGGCATACCTTTTGGATCCACGAAGGCGTGTATTTTGTACAATGCAGGGTATGTGAAAACAGCTTTTCAATGTGGCATCGGCAGGGGAATGGGTATGGGGATTTAGGGTGATTTTCGGGGTCACCCGTGGGTGCAAGAGCAACTCACCCGAACTTCTCCAGGACATTGCGTTTGCACACCTCGCACGTGAGCAGTGAGGCGTTGGTCAGCAGGATGACGGGTCCGTGGCGGGCCAAATGTCGCAGTATGACCTCCATGTCCACGGTGCGCTGCTCCACGCGCAGTCCGTGCGCCCGTGCGTCCTTGAACTTGCGCGTCACCCGCCGTTCGTCCTTGTCAATGATCTTGGAGTAGTACGTGTGCTGTGCGTAGTTGGGATCGATGCCGAGTGTTTGGGTGAAGTACTCGTGGCGCACCTGCTCGCCATGCAAATGCGAGTGTCGAAAAAAAAGAAATGAGCATATGCACATTTACATCGCGATATCCACGCTACCCACCTGGTAGCGCATCAGCAGATAGCACAGGTCGATGGTCCAGGTGCTGGAGCCGAATCCCTCCTCGCCGCACACGGCCTCGAAGTTCCCAAGGAGCTGTTCCCGCTGCTGCGCCGACAGGATCATGATGATGCAGGACAGTCCGCAGTCCCAATTGTAGCGCTGCTGGTAGTGCGTCAAGTTGTAGTGCTTGCTCGGCGGCAGTCCGTTCATCCTGGCCAGCAGCTGCTTGGGTCCTCGTGGCTTCTAGTGCTCCTTGGGTCCTTGGCTCCGTGTGCTCCGTATGCTTCGTGTGCCCGGGGCTGTGCTCCTTTGATCCTGGCGTCCAACTGGAAACTGAGTGGGGAATGTTTTGGTTGGACAGCCAATTGTAACGCTGAGCAGTGTGGCCAGGTGCAGCGTAGCGCGAAATTCCAACTGTAAGGCCCGTCCAAATGGAAACCACTCCAACTGGAGTTTTTAAACGAGTGCCGGTTATTTTGGAATTATAGTATTATATATTTTGTATATAAAGTGTAGATTGTAGATACTCTATTGCTGAAAACGATTCCGGGCTTAAAATCGCAAAGGCGTATTTAATGTGCCAAAAATATGCAAATACAAATTAAACCGTTCACAGTTGCAAGTTCAAATACAATTACCTCCAACGGGTCTCAAAATAGCTAACTAGCGCAAGAAATACATGTCAAATTATTTAAATTTGAAAACAACTGTACGCAAAACTCCGTAGTTGACTCAACGATCTGGCAACGTCGAACGAGCTGCTTGCAATTTGGCACTGATGTGCCGACGCACTTTCCTTGCATTGTTTCAGCGGTAAACTAAAAGCACCAGTCCAAAATCATCCCCCAATTTCAAAGACCGTGGTAATCTCCCTAAAAAGTGTTTAGAAACCAATAAACACGTTCCACCACCGCTGTGGCAATCCGTTGCTTGTGCGCAACGGGCACACTGACGCTGCTGACTTTGTATTTATTAGTGTGACCGTAATCATTATTATTTTCACGTGTGACAGGCAAACGAGTCAAAAGAACCAAGCGGCTACTTAAATAAACAAATCGCACGCCACAGCAGAGAGCACCCGGTGACCACCGGGAACGGGAGAAGCTGCAGATAATTCGACAGCCCCACCAAACTCACCCGCTAATTGGCAGCGTTCCCTTAGCCGGAACAACAAGAAGAAGAAGCACGTGTGCGGCGTGCCGCAAAAAAAAAAAAATAAAGAAAAGGAAAGGAAAATAAACAAAAAGGAGACCAGACCTAGGAGAATAAGCAGAAACCGCATCCGGAGGACATGGTGCCCATCGGAGCCGTGCACGGCGGCCATCCCGGCGTAGTGCATCCACCACCGCAACCCCTGCCGACGGCGCCCAGTGGCCCAAATTCGCTGCAACCGAACTCGGTGGGCCAGCCCGGTGCCACCACGTCCTCGAACAGCAGCGCGTCCAACAAGAGCTCGCTCTCCGTCAAGCCCAATTACACGCTCAAGTTCACCCTGGCCGGACACACCAAGGCGGTATCGGCGGTCAAGTTCAGTCCGAACGGCGAGTGGCTGGCTAGCTCATGTAAGTACATCCTTGGCAACGCGTCCGGTGCGAGCAATGTCCAAGAATCTCTGGCTTGAAGAGAAGGCTGTAATACATACGTATCGCATTGCCACTGGACAGCTGCTTGCTCAGTTAATGGGAATTGTGTTGTATATGCTTAAGTGAGCTGGCTGGAAGAAAGGGTCTTTCATTTATTTAGCTTTGTTGTCCATATAGCGCACATGACTATTCAATTTCCACTTGCTTCCCACAGCCGCTGATAAACTCATCAAAATCTGGGGAGCCTACGATGGCAAGTTCGAGAAGACCATTTCGGGCCACAAGTTGGGCATCAGCGATGTGGCCTGGAGCTCAGATTCGCGACTCCTTGTGAGCGGCAGCGATGACAAGACCCTCAAGGTCTGGGAACTGAGCACCGGGAAGAGTTTGAAAACTTTGAAGGGCCACAGCAACTATGTGTTCTGCTGCAACTTCAATCCGCAGTCCAATCTGATCGTCTCCGGCAGCTTCGATGAGAGCGTTCGCATTTGGGATGTGCGCACTGGCAAGTGTCTGAAGACGCTACCAGCCCATTCCGATCCCGTATCGGCGGTCCATTTCAATCGAGATGGCTCGCTGATTGTGAGCAGCAGTTACGATGGTCTCTGCCGCATTTGGGACACGGCCAGTGGGCAGTGCTTGAAGACCCTGATCGATGACGACAATCCGCCCGTCAGCTTTGTCAAATTCTCGCCCAACGGCAAGTACATCTTGGCCGCCACGCTGGACAATACACTAAAGTTGTGGGACTACTCAAAGGGCAAGTGCCTGAAGACGTATACGGGTCACAAGAATGAGAAGTACTGCATATTCGCCAACTTCTCGGTGACGGGAGGCAAGGTGAGTTCATATTTATCCAGTGACTATATGCCATTTTAGTGCTATATCGCAAAGTTCATCATGAATGTGTAATCACAAACGTTCTGTGTTCCATTGCAGTGGATCGTGAGTGGCAGCGAGGACAACATGGTCTACATATGGAATCTGCAGAGCAAGGAGGTGGTGCAAAAGCTGCAGGGACACACCGACACCGTTCTGTGCACCGCCTGCCATCCCACGGAGAACATCATTGCGTCAGCGGCGCTCGAGAACGATAAGACCATCAAGCTGTGGAAGTCGGACACATAGAGTGGCTGGTATCCAGCTGGAGGACGGGCGATCGGAGGGCGCAGCAGCTTGGGCTGCCAACACCACACATACATTTCTTGGATAAATATTATTTTCTGAAGCGATCCGCCTAATCGTAATTGTAACACCCCCTCCCTCCACACACTTTTTTTTTTGTACGCATAATTTAAGAAAAAAAATTCAAAAATTCTACGTTTAAATCACACTTCAAACCGCACATTCTACGGCAAAACGGAAAAATCACAAACAAAAAAAAAGAGAAAACGAAAAAATTTAATGTATAAATATTTATTAGCCTATTTGTATTGGCCACTATGCAAGCGAGAAAATTCCCCCCAAAAAATGTTTGTAACCTTTGACACAGCCACACAAACCCACAAAAACTTATGATGATCTTTCGGTGACGAGAAAACTAAATTTAAGCAAACAAAAACATACAGGTGCCTGGGCCAAAATCCCAGCGCCAGAAAGAATATATATAAAATACGAAATGTAAATTTTGAATAAAAGAAAACACGTACTCAGCGGCGCCCAAGTGTCCTTTCAACTTGAGCGCTTTTCGAGGCGAGTCACTTAATTGTAATAATTGCTTTTTCTTTGTTTACTATTTGTACTTTTTGGTAGTATTGAATCAGTGGACATGGGAATAAACTTAATGTAGGAGTTGTCCTAAAATGATTTGCTTTCAAATTCTTGCGCCCATTGGAGTGTGACCCTGCGTTAAGTTAGCCTGAAGACGGTCACACTGGCTGTTCAGTTTGACCGTTTGCCACGGGATTTCGACAGCGGCGAGAGACGGTCACTTCGCAAAACGAAAATCGAAAAAAAACCGACGAATCGAAAATCGGAGATCGCGGATTCGATTCACTTGATTCAGAACCAAACCGAATCCGAGTCCTCTGCGATGCGCGCGCCAATACGCTGAACAGTCGCCCAGTGAAGTTTGCAATTAATTTGCAAATCAATTTCGCTCCGCCGCCGTCGCGCACATACACACATACACAACACACAAACACCCGCACCGCGCACACATGCACACACACACACCGCGACACGCATAGTGACAAAAAAAAAATAAAAAGTGGCAATAAAACAAAAAGAAAAGAAAATAAAACGCCGTGCCCGTGGGAAAATCGATTTTCCTTTAAACAAATCGCTGCTACTTTTGGGCTTTTCCAAGCGCCTTTGCTGCAATTACTTGTTTTTTTTTTTGCTGTGCACAGTACGCCGAGAGAGCGGCGTGAACCGGTGCAGAGAGAGCGAGAGAGTGAGAAGGAAAGGAAGAGGAAGAGGGGGCGAGGTGTTTCATTGGCAGAAAATTAGCAAGGCAACAAAAACGTTTATAAATATATATATACATATATTCCAATATAAATATCGCAAATATTAATGACGAGCCAACAGCGCCAGCAGCAACTGCAACAACAGAAACCCAGCAACCAGAGGTTCTAATACGAAAATAACCCAAACAAATCGCCGCGGCAGCAACAACAAAGAGAGTGCAAAAGAGAGGCGCCAAATAAAAAAAAAGGGAATAAAAAGTGTATCATTTTGCGGCACACCCAAGAACGCGGAAAACTCCCGCCACCCTTGCCACGCCCCTCGCCACCCTGCCGCACCAATAGCCAATACCAATAACAGCCATAACAATAACAACAACAGGCTGCAGGCGCAGAGAATCGAAGAAACGCGGAGGAAAAGGCAGAAAAGAAACCCAAACATTCGGACACTCGCTCTTCTTCTTATTCTACCCAATCCGTTTTGGCATGGAAAACATGGTGAGTAAAGAAAAGCAAGTTAACTTTGCAGGGGCGTAGCATGATGTACAATGTACATGTGTATGTAAATCGGCAGGGGGATTCTCCTAGTATCGAGCATCGAATAAATGCACGCTTCACAAACTAGTGAAATGAACCTAACTACCCAATTATTAAACCCATTAAACTGCGCCCTTGATGGGCCGCCCCACCTCCACCGCGCCCCTTTTCGCCGCCCCTGGACCGCCCATTAGCACATTTCGGTAGGTCGTCGCTGTCGCCGTGCGGTGTGTATGTGCACAGCGGCGGGCAAGACATTAGGATTACATGCAGAAATTGGGAGTAATTACACAGTCGTCGCTACAGTGTCATAACTATGCATGTCCCCATATCCCCACTTAATTGCACTTACGATGGGCATTTCCACTAAATCAGGCATCTAGATACGCTCTGGGTTGGCAAGAGAAAGTCCTAGTATTTGCAGCACAGTTGTGTCTGTTTGCGCAGAGCTCGCGTGTTTTTGTGTAATTTCGTTCCCATGTGGCAATGTGACCTGTTAACGTGGAAAGTTACTCGGCATCTCGTGACTCCCGTCTGCATCCAATATTCCAATGTTCATAGCCAGCGGGAGCATGTCCTTGAGCACGGGCTTGCCCATCCCCATACCCAACCCCCACTTTTAACCCACCGACGGGCGCAGCAGGGTGTGCACCCAACCCTTATGCCAGCAATCCCTCGACGTACAGTCATCACAGCCAGCTAAAGAACGGCAAGTTATTGTTACAGTGCAGAATGTTTACATATGGTGCATGCATTTGGTTGCACAAACATGCATAGCGTACACATATGTCCAATGAATGGTGTTTTTTTGTAGCAGAATTGACGACACGGCGATGTACAAGCAATGTTAGTTTTGTATTTCGAGCGGAAGAACTGTTTCCGATTCGGTGTTGCAGATCCAAAAGGAGGCACATAATAGCGCGGTTTTGGCCAATTCACTTGCCACTAAAGCTACATACTTCTTCCCTAGTTAGTTGATACTTTCGGTACACAAGTAAGGAGCAACGACCATATAATTTCCTCCTAAGTCATCGTTTGCAGTAACCTGATCCGCTGCACTTTCTGTGCAGATAAGGGGAAATGTAGGCTTTAGATTGTAAACAACTTGCAGTATAGCGTATCACACCTTTCCAATGCAGGTGCATTCCGTTTAAATTGGGTTACTATTTATCATTGCTCATCATTGTGGCTCACTGTTCAGTTGCTGTAAACGCCAACCTTGGACCTAAAGGCATGGACCCACATGCAGTGTGAGTGGCGGCGACTTGCACCCGAAGAAGGCCGCCTGCTGCTCGCTCAATTCAATTGTGGCCACAATTAACGAGTGCTGATTGTGTGCTCTGCCGGCGCTTATCTACGCACAGATACAGACGCATGTTTGTGGCTGTTTGCTCAGTCCACGGTGATAAGCGATTTCGCTCTCTGTCTCTTGGTCTCTTGTTACCCAGCCCTCGATTTGTGGCCCCGAAAACTGGCAGTGCCTGCTACCGTCCAGTGGGCGCTCCTCCTGGCTGCCATCCTGCCACACTCCCTGATCTCAGCATGATGTCATGTCGGCGGAAGCACCTGCCTGCTGCCGACCTACTGCTAATGTGCCCTCATCGTTTTCGACATGCAATTATCCTATCCATCCATCTGCGCCCGTTCCAGTGACGCCAATGAACTGGGCCTACAGCAAATTGCCATCTGATATGGAGTCCATTTGCATGTCCATGCACACTTGCCCGACCCCAAATGATGTCATATCGGGGCAAAAGCTAATGCTCCACCATCCCAAATTCACTGGATATTATAGTCTGCGAAAGCTAATCAACTCAATAGATGCCCTTGGCCTGGCATTGTCCGTTTGAGTTCTCCAAATGTCCTCATCTGCTTATCTACTCATAGTACTTGGGTGCATTTCAAATGTATGCGTCTTTCGGAATTCCCATTTTGACTGGCCCATGACGACATTTTTGACAGACCTGTTTCCCTAGCGAAACCGAGTGCAAATGCTCTGGAATTAGTCACCCACTGTGCAGACACTCATCGCACCCATTATCTGAACTAGTTGGGTGATTCAAATGATTCAATGGGTTGGTGGACGACAAGCGGCCCAAACGAGTGCTACACATGGAGAAATCGGTACTTCCTCAAAGGTAATAAATATGCAATAAATATGCTTGTCTGCAGGAAGTGGGACATACGTGATTTATGTAGGTCACAATTGTTTGCGAAGTGTGCAAATCGTTAAATAGATATGAGCACGCCCCTGATAGCTCACCATGGCAAACATTAAGATCAATTTGTACCTAAACAAATCGGGCTAAAAGCGGCTAGTGTGAATCATGAATACACGGGAATCACCGAAACGGCGTCCAATGCACCAACGATGAGTTCGCTCAGATCAGCGCATATAGCTTTTGGCCAAAAGCCGAGGAAGCCGAGTGATCCCAGTGAGTGCTGGTGGCGATTCTTCTATGTGTACCAACCAAGTACATACCGCCAACATTGGTTAGCGGTGCTCTGCCCTCCGCTGATTGTGTTCTGCGCTTGATAACGTATTTAATTTATTATTATGACTGCGCACACACCTCAGCCATTCTCATGTGCCGTATGCCGTATGCCGTATGCCGTTTGCCGTTTGGCGTATGGCGTATGGCGTATGAGCAGGTGTACCTGACCGATTTCCATGGAGCTTAGTGTACCGGCGACCGTCTGCGGAGCTCCAAGCGCGAAGCACGAGAGGAATAGTCAGAATAGTCAGTAATCGCGCGTACAATACGAATCGCATCGTATTTCCGAGTCGGAAACGTGCAGCGAATCAAACGACAAAACTACGAACTATAGTCACATAGGAAACCAAACCGACATCGAAATCGGAATATACAGATATACAAATATATAGAATACGACAACGCGCGATTATGGACTGGTGAGCGGGGCGGTTCAGATGGGAGGTGGTGGCGGGGGTGGTTGGTGGTTGGTGGGTGGTGACCTGTAATTCATGGCACCTGGAACGATCCCCTGCGAACCGGGGATTTCCCATTCATGGAGCACGCCGATGGACTTTGACATTGACTGCAGTGCGGTGCACAGGGAGAAATGTTGCCAGTGACGGCAAATCGATATTAAGCTACCGATTTGGATAACCACAGCGTATTGTCAATTATCTGAAACATCGATTTGTGGCCCCCAAAAAGGAGGCAGTGCAAAGGGCGAGGTTATATAAGGTAGTTGGATAATGCAAGGTTTTGTGCGAGTGCCTGGCGTAGTTAGAGCCGTTTAATTGACTTCTGGGCCGGTCGAGAGAGACGTGCTAATTCATGGGCCTCGGCGCCAGGAGGGTCGCGGGGATGGAGTAGGAGGGGCTGTGGAAAGTAGCTGGAAGGTGAACTATTAACTTGGCTAATGGCAAAGCCACTCGAGTGCCGCCAAGTGCCGAGTGCCAAGTGCCAAGTGCGACGATGTGACTCAGGGCAGGTGCTCACGATTAGATTTCCCTCAACTGGCTAGCTCCAAGTGGGAGCTGCTCGTCGCCACTTTCAATTGGAACTGTGGCCGGGAACAATGTGCCGCGGCAATTAACCAGTATATCAGCAATGGCATCGCGCACTACAGTGGTTATCGCTTTGTTCGTAAATAAATGTTATGCATTAGGTTAGACAATCTATTGCCACTTACAGAGATAAACCGATAACATGGCCCAGAACATGGCCCATAGCATGTACATCATCTTGGAAACTGCATATACGGTGATCACTTAAGTTCACCCTACTGCTGATGTTGATGTTAAACGCCTTGCACTTTCGATTTTTCACCTCAACCCATACATATGTGCCCACTGTATGCGATTTTGTGCACTGCCCTGCAATCGTTGGAGCGTTGCATTCATTTTCGTTTTCTCGCAGTTAGTTGCGAAAAACGAAAACAAACAAAGCCCGCAAATGAGAGGCACCCATATAGTATTATACTATTGTTGAAATTATTGCACCCAGCCAGTCGGACAGTCAGACAGCCAGTTAGACAGTGTGATTTTGTTGTTTATATAAGTGCAGACCGGTTATCGCGAGCGATCCAAGTTCATTACGCCCCCAACAACAATGGGTCCGGTCCAGGTTATCTGAGGCTGGGTCTCTCCGTAGCTGCTTCTCCGGCCGAATGATTCATGCGGAATCTCGATGATAAGCGCACTGGAGTCATTGGCATCGGCTTGGTTTCGGAATCGCAATCGGAATTGGATTTGGATTTGGATTTGGTTGTGGTTCTCCCTCATTTGGGCGGCGGCAAGCAATTCCGCAAGCAATCGGATTTCGCAATTGTCGAAGGCCGTCGCTTATCGTCAACGGATTGTAAACTGTGTACTCGTACGTGGATCCAAGTGCCAGCGGCAAAAGAGTTTCTTATCAGCGTGTCACCATAGCCGGCCAAGTACGGTGGTAACCGCTTAAGGTGGAAAGTAAGCAAAGATACCATAATCAGAGAGCAAAGTGATACCTTAGGTACGCAATAATACGCAAATATGATGCCTTACAACAATTTCTGCGAACCAGATCACAAAAGCTTGAATTTCAAGTGCCATACAAAAGGGTTTCACTGATAAGCACTGTTTAAAAAAAAAACTGAAATTGCTCTTCCACTTCAAATCGGGGCACTGTTCAATTTTAGAACAGCTCACATGAGCCTTTTCGCGAAGCAGAAATCAAGAAGAACTGGGCGGAATCATAAAGATTGGATTGTTATAGCCAGCCCTCGATATTGTGTTATCACAGCCAAACCGCTGAACCGGCCAACTTTGCAAGTTTGTGGGTTCTTGTGCTCCTGGGTGGTGCCTCCAATGAAAGCGCTGCGAGTGGATAAATCGATATGGGGCGTGTGTAATCTTTATGTGCCCATCCTAGCATTGGAAAACGCCGCAGACTGGAGTTTTACACTCCCGTAAAACTCGTAAAATCGATGGAAAATTTCACTGGCACTTGGTCAACTGTTTTCTTTCGTTTTTCCTTGGTCTCCGTCGCTCGCAATCCCAACTGCATGAATCACCCGCCCATCATTATCGTATCAAATGTGTTCCGACTTATTGTGACTTGCCTTTTGTTCAACTTCCTTTTTTCCATTCATTATTATGGGGCGTTGATTGCGGTACCTCTATACGAAGTGTATTCCCTATGCGAGATTTTGGGAATTAATATTTTCCTAATTGCCAGTGAAAGTCAGCCAGTAGAATCCTATATGGATTCACAAGTATTTAGATTCGATTATGATTAAATTCATTTCAATTGGAGTTAATTGGACCCACATGAGATTGTCCAGTTCATAAATTGTCGTTAATTGCTGCTATAGCTTGTAGATGCGATAATTTCATTAGCTGTTTCTGTTTAAAAAAAGCTGTTTCAAAATATAAAAAAAGGGCCTGTGGCAGAAAATCAAGTCCACGAATGTATAACTATGGAACTATTTATTGATAAATGATCGATGATTAGTGGAAACGAGTGTTCTTATCGCTGTCCATTCGATTTTGCAGCTTTCCCAAATTCACGCGATAGTGCCAATAAAATGCTGCTTTAATCTTAGCACTTCCTGGTTTCCCCCAAGTTGAAAAACATACATACTTATTGCTCATATGCTCGTGGGCCACATTTTCTTTTTTTAAATACTTCTAATCACATCGCGCTTAGTCACTACGATATAAACAAGCAGGCAGCGACAAATGGAAACATTTGCAAATACAATATATAATTCGGATATCGATGGGCCTCCTATGCTACACACACTTATGGTGATATAAATACAGATGGTCAGACGTTATCCGCATGGCAGCCCGAATTCCAAGGCAACAACGTTGAACATTCGAAGTGTGAGCCAATTGTAATCAAATCGTTGGCATTTGAACTCGCTCAATTGGTGCCCAAGTTATGCGGGCTTAATGGAGAATAAAATATGGAGAAGCTGCCTCTGGCTGCTGGTTATGTGATCAATAGTTAGTTGGTTGGTTGGTGATTAACAAGTTTCCATGTCGGTGGCAGGGAACGCCCATGCACTCGGTACTAATTCAATAAAAATAAAAATACGAGTATAGCAACGAAAAAAAATGCGGCCGATGTGAAAGGTTAAAAAAATTAAGTATACTAACTGCTGGGCTGGCACTAATTCACTTTTAAATGCCAGATTACGAGTCACAGCAGCGAGAGTTTGGCATAATTTATGTGATTTAAGGGCTACCAAAATTGCATCGATGCGCTTTTAGATTTTAACCCATTTTCCCCAACACACCAAAGCTAATGAAAATCTCTTGTTTCTTGCTTCCATTCCCCAAATCGCAGAAATGTCTGACCAGGAAACAGAGCTGAGAGTCTCAAATGCAAGCAAGCCCACGCCAGCGGCAGCATCCAAGTCCAAGTTCACCAACAGCTGAAGAGGAAGCGGCGGTTACGAGTTAGCGGATACGAGACGCGCACAGCCGGCAGCTGATAGAGGATACGGAGCACCACTTATTGACTTGGGGGGTGCCTGGACCAACTTCCGTTCCGCTCGGCACGAATCGCTGAGCTTCAGGCACAAACAACTTACAACACATCTTTAGTCATTTTAATGCGGCGAGTCGCTGATTCATGCACATTCATTTGAGTCAGGATCGAACAAACAAGGCAGAGATAAGGATTACGAATCACGGAATTGTCAGAGCACAAGTCTACTTAAGGCTGGAGGACGATAGCCACTTAAGATACTTTACAACACACAATAACTAAAACAAAAAAAAAGAAAAAGAAAAAGAAAAAAAAAGACACAATCCGCAACCCGCAAATCAAGATGAACTCCACCACAAAGCATCTGCTGCACTGCACACTGCTCATCACTGTGATAGTTACCTTCGAAGTATTCTCCGGCGGTATTAAGATTGACGAGAACTCGTTCACGCTCGTGGATCCATGGACTGAATACGGCCAATTGGCCACGGTTCTGCTGTACTTACTGCGCTTTCTTACGCTGCTCACGCTGCCCCAGGTGCTGTTCAACTTTTGCGGCCTGGTATTTTACAATGCCTTCCCCGAGAAGGTTGTCCTCAAGGGCAGTCCCCTGCTGGCGCCCTTCATCTGCATCCGCGTGGTCACGCGCGGCGACTTCCCGGACCTGGTGAAGACGAATGTGCTGCGCAATATGAACACCTGCCTGGACACCGGACTGGAGAACTTCCTCATCGAGGTGGTCACGGATAAGGCGGTGAATCTATCGCAGCATCGTCGCATCCGGGAGATTGTGGTGCCCAAGGAGTACAAGACGAGAACCGGTGCGCTCTTCAAGTCCCGGGCACTGCAGTATTGCCTGGAGGACAATGTCAATGTGCTGAACGACAGCGATTGGATCGTCCATCTGGATGAGGAGACGCTGCTAACGGAGAATTCAGTGCGTGGCATCATTAACTTTGTGCTGGATGGCAAGCATCCGTTCGGCCAGGGCCTGATCACGTATGCCAACGAGAACGTGGTCAATTGGCTGACCACCTTGGCGGACAGCTTTCGGGTCTCCGATGACATGGGCAAGCTGCGTCTGCAGTTCAAGCTCTTCCACAAGCCGCTGTTCAGCTGGAAGGGCAGCTATGTGGTCACCCAGGTGGGTAATTCCCTTCATTCGAATCGAATGGGCAATCGATTTGTGGGCTAATGAGTGTGCTTTTCGGGAATTCCACGAACTTCCCCAAAAGGTCTTTTATCAACTGTGACAGCTCAGTAAGCTCTAAACAAAAAGCAATCTAATTCTTGCGCTTACGGTATGAATGAGAAATCGTAGGCATTTCAAAGGGGCTAGCTACTACCTTAGCCTCCTTGATATTTCTCCATTTGTTTGTTCTTGTAGCACAAGTATGAAATCACATTTGCAATTACCTATACAAGGTCACAAGGTTTCTTTTAACAACAGCCCATGCCCACAAATCGACCTACATTTTTTATATGCATACTAATTATCCTTCATTTTGCTAGGTGAGTGCGGAGCGTTCAGTGTCCTTTGACAACGGAATCGATGGCTCGGTGGCCGAGGATTGCTTCTTTGCGATGCGTGCCTTCAGCCAGGGATACACGTTCAACTTCATCGAGGGCGAGATGTACGAGAAGTCGCCGTTCACGCTGCTGGACTTCTTGCAGCAGAGGAAACGTTGGCTGCAGGGCATCCTGCTGGTGGTGCACTCCAAGATGATCCCGTTCAAGCACAAGCTGCTGCTGGGCATCAGTGTCTATTCGTGGGTCACCATGCCACTGTCCACGTCGAACATCATCTTTGCGGCACTGTATCCCATACCCTGCCCAAATCTCGTCGATTTCGTGTGCGCCTTCATCGCGGCCATTAATATCTATATGTACGTCTTTGGCGTAATCAAGTCCTTTTCGCTATACCGCTTCGGATTGCTGAGATTCCTGGCCTGTGTGCTGGGAGCGGTGTGCACGATACCCGTGAATGTGGTCATCGAGAATGTGGCCGTCATTTGGGGCCTGGTTGGCAAGAAGCACAAGTTCTATGTGGTGCAGAAGGATGTGCGCGTACTGGAGACTGTCTAGGATATTATGGAACTGGAGGAGTTGGGAGGAGGAGTCATCAAGTGCAGCCATGGTCATCATATCGCCCCCCTCCCAAAAAATGAAAACCAAAAAACCAAATTAAGCAAGGCAAAAACAAACGAAATTTCGCACAATTTGGCCAGGCTCATTGCGTTGTCCTGGCACTATCTGATTGATTTACTTTATTTGTACATTTTCCTTTAAGCATAAGTCACTCAACCACAAGACACAGCCACATACAACACCTGCACAAGACACACACGCATATAATTGTTGTTTCGTTCTAATGTCATGGTCATTCACAATTTTGCCAAAAAGAAACGAAATCAGATCATCATAGAAATCGGCTCAGCACAAGAGAATACATGGGTATCAAATGACCCAAAGACAACAATTGGGGCAATAGGAATGCAGTAGAGCACACACGAAAACTCTCCATTAAGTGTAATTTCATTATATATATATATATGGTTTTTTTTGTATAGTCTGTAGTGAAGAGTGCGCTATATTTATATAAACATAAATATTGTATGTACATTGTAGATTTATTATTACAAATACGATAATTTAAAAATGTGTACATTGAAGTATTGTAAATTGATTATCTGTTAAATATCATTCACACCGAAAACCAAGGTTAAAAAAGCAAAGTAAACTTGAATGTTTAGACTTATGTACTTACGCAAATTTGAATGTACTTTGAGAACTGTTTGGCCTGTCTAAATGTGTCATTCACTCCAGCACGAATGCCCCGAGAGCCCAGAGGATCAGGATCCACCATTTTCCGCATTCTCTGGAAGATCTTCAGTCCAGAGAACGCTTGGTGTGAATGATATGATCGTGATTTGCGAAGAGGAGAGCCCCTTCGAATTTCTTTGTTCTTTCGTTTTTTTTTTTGAGTACTCTGTTTTAGTCACATTTTCCTTGTTTGCCTTTGTCTTTCTGTTAATCTGTTATCGGTGCTTTGAAACCCACGCCCAAATCACACCGCTCGAAAGAAAAAAAAAAATGGAACACGTGAGTTGCAGTCACCTCGTAAATCCCAAAAATAAAGCGAAAAAGGATGTCGCGTCCACTCACATACACACACCCAACACACACAAAAAACTGTTATGAAAAAAGAACCAAATACAAAAACAATAATAAAATGTCAAAATATAAATGCATGTATTTCGAAATTCGGGGCTTGGTTGAAAATACGAAACTTATTTGAAAAACGCCAGAATCAATGTGGGTTGACCTCTTTTTCTGCCCATCCTCTGTAGTCGAAACATACATGGCAAGGTGTTAGTTTCACTCCTTTCCGATAAAGTCTCTAGTCCTTGGAAAATAAATGCTTACGAATGTAAGAAATCCTGGCCCTTAGAATATTCCCATCTCTCTCGTAATCATGCATTTGGGCCATGTACTTTAAATCTGATAAAAAGCAAATAAATAGGTCTGGGCTATTGCCTGTCAAAGGCACTGGATTCTGTAGTTGATCGAATTTAAAATTAGTTTGGATGACCTAGAGGCGAATTAGTGCAGATCATCCGATGCTACATTGGTGCATTCTAAAACATGGATGGGTAAAACAGTCTTGGTTGATATGAGTTCCCTAACGAAAATTTCCTAAAAGAATTTAACAAACATATTATTAAAACGAGCCTAACCAATCTAGCCATCTAGCCCAAGTCTAGTCTAATCGTGCTGACAGGTATCTGGAGAACTCGCTCCTGCTCCACTTCTGCTCTCATTTTGCTCCGCTTCTGCTCCTCCTCTACTGCTGCTCCGTTCTCCACATGTATGAGGTCCGCTCCAACGTTAAAAGAATTTGCGCTTGGGCGTGTCAAACGCCAGTCCCGACATTCTGCGAATAGAAAACGAAGTCTTGCATTGCGAACAAATATAATTCAGAATTCGTGCCCACTTAGCCAACTTGGGTCCATTGATATCTTCCGCACTGGATGTATTGCTCAGCGGTGTGGCTACGGCCTTTGGTGGTTCCCGCAGTGTACGCTTTGGTGATTGCTCCACTTTGCCGGGCGCTTCTGGAGCGACGAACTTATCCATGTTCTCCTTGGTCTGCGGCTCCTCGTCGCCGGTCTCGGACGTGATGTCCTCCTTGATGTCTTCGGCAGTGTAACCATCGCCCGCCCCGCAATGCGGAGACGGACTATGGCCATTCATTGGGTTGTGGCAATTCGTCTTGCAAACGCAGATCTCGGAGCATGCATGGTTGGCCACAAGGCAACCGCATCGCTTGGTGTTGCACTTCGTTCGACACTTGCAACCTTTGCAGCGTTTGCCGTCCTCTGTGGCGGTTGTGGAATTCAGCGATTGGATGGATGCATTGTCCAATGACGTCACGTTGGCATCCGGCTTCTGTAAAGGAGTTGATCCCGAAATCTGCGGCTTCACATTGCGGCTAACATCGGCCTGACCCCTCTGCGGCGAAGTCAAGAAAATTGTTGAACTGTTAGTTTCAAGAGGTCAAGAGAAAACCTATACTTGTCTGGTCAAGCCAAACAAGCACAATGCAAACTCACCTTGAATTTCGATGTGGCGGGCACCCAGTCGGGATCGTCGCTGACATCGCTTAGCTCTACTGTTTCGTTAAAATCCACTATCTGGACACTATCATCTAAATTCTGAGAAGTAGCCGGAACTGGCTTGGCTTTTGACTTGGTCTTGGCTTTTAGTTCGTCCAGCTCATGCTGCAGTGCCTCTCGGCTGCTGAGCAGTTCTTCGAGGATTTCATTGTGATGCTTCAGCTCCTCCGCCGGTGACTGTACTTCAGTCGATCGCTGGTTGGCAGTCCTGATCAAAATGGCGACCTTTTCCTCGTAGGCGCGCTGTTGGGCCAGCATTTGTTCTTCATGCTCGGATTGGAGCAGACGGATGCGTTTGCTCAAAGTCTCCTCTTGCTGCTGAGCATCCAGGAGCTGTGCGCGCTGCTCATCCAACGCTGTGCGCTGCTCATTCATGCTGGCCGCCTGTATACGCCGCTGCTGCACCAAAGTCTTCAAGAGTTGCTTACTTACAGCCCTGGATTCGCCAAGACTTTGGACGCCCTCCGCCAAGGAGTGAATGCGGCTACCCAGATCGGCGGGGCAGACTTTCTGCTGAATATCAGAGATCTGCGCATTGCGCATTTCCAGCTCCTCCTCGAGATTCGCCAGAATGGCGGCCTGCTCCTTGGCTTCGGCAAGATCATCGATCTTCTGTTTCTTGAGCAGATTATAGTGATTGTTGATTACCGCCCGGTCCTCCATCAGTTGCTCCAAACTGTGCTCGGCATCTATAAGCGAGAGTATGATCTCCAATTCACGATCCACCCAGGAATCTGTCTTTGCGGAGCCTGAGCCAGAGCCGCCGTGTTCCTTGGCGTACTTCTGACGCTGGGCCTGCGCATGTGCCTGGCGCTCGAGGGCATCCTTCAGCCTCTTGTTGGCAGCCACAGCCTCCTCGCACTTGCGCTTTAAGACCTGCCGCTGCTTGGTGTGCAGCATCTGCTGGCGCACAATCTCCGACTGCATTTTGCGGTCCTTGCTCCTAAGTTGGGTGAGCTCCTTTTCGCGAACCGTCATCCAATGGCGGAACTTCTCGGATTCACTACGCATTGCCCGGATGAGCTTCACCTTGGACTCCTTCATGGTGCCTATTTCGCTAGATAGATTTTTAATCTTTTCACGCTCCTTCTCTCGCATTTTTAGCATGTTGGCCTGGGTGATCAGCTTGCGGCGCAGTTCGGAGATCTCATGCTCCAAAACCTGCAGGCGTTTGCGTCGCTCCTCCGCCAACTTGGCAGAAGTATCCTTGCTTTTAATACTGCGCAGCTGATCCATCAGGTCTCGTCGCTCCGCCTCGAGGTCATCGATCTTTTGGTTGCACTGACGCAACTTGTCATCCTCGTTACCCGCCTCCAACTTGTCCAAGTTGCGAATAATACGACTTTGCAGCTCCTCTTTGAGATCCAGCTGGCGATTGATGTTGCGCAGTTCGCCCGCGAAGTTCAATTGCTTGTTAGTGAACTCCTCCGAGTGGGAATCCAGCTGGTCGTGGGCTTCATCGATGCTCTTTTCCATCCCATCTGATTGCGAACAAGTGCTGAGCAGCTGGCGTGTCTCATTGCTCTGGATCTCCAGCTCATTCTGAGTGTGTTGCAATTCCTTGTTCACTAGATCCACTAGCAATGAGATTTCGCGCAGTTCTGGGTCCATAAGACCATTTTCGGAGTTCACCTTTTCCTTTTGATCCAGTTTGCATTTTATCTCAATCATATAACCTCGGAGTTTATCACGGCCCTGATCAGTAATATGGGAACGCATTTCTTTCTCGGCCAGTTCGGTCAACGACTGTTGAAGCTCTTGCTGTAGTTTTTTAATCCTGTCCTGCAGGGTGCGCACTTCTTCCTTGTGGCGCTTATACTCGGCTTCATTGGCTACTGAACCAGCTAGTGAATCCCCACAGGGAATCTCACCCAAGCCAGCTATTTCAACAGCTCTACTTATAGAGCTGGTCATCTTGCCGGTGGCCAGCAGCTCTACACGCAGTTTTTGGATGATGTCCCTCAGCATATTTATCTCCGCCGCATGCGGATCGAGATTGACCACTGGCTTGTTTTTGATTTGCAGGGCCCGATCCGCGTAGCGTAGGGTGCTCAATGTCTCTGCCACATTGTAGTCAGCGGGGCTGACGCAAGCAATCATCAACGTAATGGAGTTACCGCCTAGGGAGTCCTGCAGCAGACGCGTCAGCTTGGACTGCCGGTAGGGTATATAGGCAGTGGATTGGTGAGCTGCAATGTTTGTGGAATAAACCAATTTACAATCAAGTGGCTAAATGGCAAATACTCACATCCCAGGGCATTAATCACGCTGCCCAGGGCAAGAAGGCCCTTATTGATGTTCACGCCCTCTTTAAAGCGATCGCCGCTGGCCATAGTCTTTGAGCAGCGTTCAGAGCCAGCCAGATCAACCAGGTTAAACTTCGATGTTGTGGCGGTTTTACTGACGGGTTTTGAGGGAAAAAAGTGATTAAGAGTGCTAAACGAAGAGATGGCACCACATACTTGCCGTCCAGTTTGGTGGCTACCAGCGTCAACGTAAATATCGCATGGGATCTTGAGGAGGTTTCATTCATGGCCGTGGCGCCCACAGCCCGTCCGGCGGAGCCGCGTATCAGATGATCGGTCACTTCCTGGGCGGAATTGACAACTATCTCAGTGAGGCCCGGCATAACCACACGGTTCTGCACTTCCCTGATGTCTATGGTGGCTCTTTCCCGTTTTTCCGAAAAGAGGTCATATAACTGCTCCTGGTAGAGCTCCACATAAGAGCATGTGACAGAGAAACGGAATTCCTCCCGCAATTCTAAAATGGCTTTGAATATCTCATGAACGGCTCGTGGTATAACACCAGCATGATCATCGAGCACTCCATCGAAGGCTGTGCCCATAGTGTAGGTCTTGCCAGAACCTGTTTGGCCATATGCCAAGATCGTGACATTATAGCCGCGCAACAGCTTCGACATTTTGCCCTGCACACAGGTCTCGAAGACATCCTTTTGCGTGTCGTCAATGTCAAAGACGTAATTGTACGTATAAGACTCATTCCTGTTGACTGTGACCTGTGGAACTCCTTCCGCAGAGCGTTCCACGGCAATACGGCAGCCGCGATCCAACTCGGACTGCACCAATGGGCGCACGCGCAAGGCGACAGTCACCGAGCTGGAATCCTCGCTGGACATCTAAGAGTTTCGAAGGGACAATCATCATATACTACTTTACCGCCGGCCGTCTCCACCAACCACTTACCTTGAGCAGGGCAGCAGATCCGAATCGAGATGCAGAAGACCCCGGGAAAACTGAACAATCGGGTCACAGCAACAGCAACTTACAATTTTGATTTGGTCTAGGTCACGGTGTAACGTGGGTTCTTCACGGGCAACCCCGTACACTCAAGAAATTCGATTTTCCGATCCTTGCCTAAGCTAATTCAATACGACGCTAAAATACGAACACATTTCTGCCAGTACTTTCAAAAATGGCGTTGTTATCGGTGCACACCGCGGTTCTCGATAAGTGGGGCCAGCAGAGGTGCCGTTGTAGGCAGATGTCGATTGTATTCGTGTGTGATACTGAAAAGAAATCTCCTAGATATCAAATGTATGACTGATCTGAAGACTTGAAGTTATTGGACAGGCAGACTTGATAGAAAATCGCATTTAAGAAAATACAATCTACCTATGTGTATAGATTTATAACGATTTTCGCTGCTTCCAATGAAAAATGTCCAACTACAAGAATGTAGCGGTTTTTTAGCCGATTCGCCGATATCCGCACATATGTATCGATTTAGCTATGTAGCTATCGATTTTTTGAACAATCGGTAGCATCAACATTGAATTGAAGAAACCAGTTGGATTGCATTTCGCAATAAATTGGCAAAGGAGGATCTGGTCAGACAGCAGGACATGGAGGGAGTGACGCCGCGGTTAAAAGTGGTGAAAGAGGCGTTGCACGCCAATGGGAACAGTTGCACCAACGTGGAGGCCACCAATTCGGCCATTTTAAAAGTGCTGACGCGCGTGAATCGCTTTCAATTGCGCGTCCGCAAGCACATCGATGACAATTACACGGAGTTTATGCCCAACCACACGTCGCCGGACATTTTCCTGGAGGAGTCGGCGTCCTTAAATCGAGAGATTCAGGAACTCCTCAAGACGGTGGACTCTGAGGGCTTGGGCGCCTTGAACGACGCGAATGCCAAGTTGGCGGATAGCGGCAGGCAGCTGCGAGAGATCCTTTTGGGTCTCGGTGTCAGCGAGCATGTCCTTAGGATCGACGATCTGTTCCAGTGCGTGGAGGATGCTAAGGCGAACAAGGATTATTCGGTTATTCTAGATCTTGTTGGCCGTTTGCGGGCATTCATCTATGGCGATGATTCCGTTAACGAGAACGCACAGGTGGCCACGCCAGAGGTTCGACGCATCTTTCAGACCCTCGAGTGCTACGAGACCATCAAGGTGAAGTACCATGTGCAGGCACATCTGCTGCAGCAGAGCCTTCAGGAGCGCTTCGATCGACTGGTGCAACTGCAGTGTAAATCCTTTCCCACATCGCGATGCGTCACCTTGCAGGTGAGCCGGGATCAATCGCAGCTGCAGGATATTGTGCAGGCCCTCTTCCATGAACCCTACAATCCGGTACGCCTCTGCGAATTCCTGCTGGACAACTGCATCGAACCGCTGATCATGCGGCCAGTGATGACCGAGTATAGCGAAGAAGCCAATGATGGCACCTACATCCGATTGTCGCTTTCGTACGCCACCAAGGAGTCAAGCTCATCGCAACTCCGTCCGAATTACAAGCAAGTTTTGGAGAACCTGAAGCTGCTGTGGCAGACGCTGGCTGGGATCAACTGTAGTGTATTCAGCGAGCAACATGTTTTTGCCATTATTGGCGATCATGTGAAGGATAAAATGCTGCAATTACTGGTGGATGAGTGCCTGATGCCAGCTGTACCCGAAACCATGGAGGAGTATCAGGCTTCTACGCTGTGTGAGGATGCTATGCAGCTGGAGCAGCTGCTGGTAGACTCATTCATCATCAATCCAGAGCACGATCGAGCTCTAAGTCAGTTTGTCGAGCAGTATGAGACCTCCTACCGCAATCGGCTGTTTTGTCGGGTTCTGGAAACGGCGCGCGAGATCATCCAGCGAGATTTGCAGGACATGGTGCTGGTCGCGCCCAACAATAACCCTGCCGAAGTGACAAACGATCCTTTCCTCTTCCCACGCTGCATGATCTCAAAAAGTGTTCAGGTAAGTCGCTTCCTAAAACAAACCGGTTGATTTAACTACAGCATTCATTGTAACTGACAGGATTATGTCAAACTGATGGACCGCATTCTCCGGCAGCCCACGGACAAGTCGGGCGATAAAGAAGTCGAACCCACAGCCGGCATCATTCCTGTCATGCTACACACGTACATCGATGAGGTGCCCAAGGTGCACCGCAAACTGCTCGAGAGCATACCACAGCAGGCCGTGCTGTTCCACAACAATTGCATCTTCCTCACGCACTGGGTGGCTCAGCATGCCAACAAGGGCATCGAAAGTTTGGCGGCGCTATCCAAGACACTGCAGGCCACCGGTCAGCAGCAATTCCGTGTACAGGTTGACTACCAATCCTCAATCTTAAAGGGCATCATGCAGGACTTTGAGTTCGAGAGTCCGCACACATTGGGCTCTGGCCCACTGAAGCTGGTGCGCCAGTGCCTTCGCCAGCTGGAGCTGCTAAAGCACGTGTGGTTGAACGTGCTCCCTGAGACTGTGTATAATGCAACCTTCTGCGAGCTGATCAACACATTTGTCACCCATCTAATCCGACGAGTGCTCACGCTGCGCGACATTTCCGCACCGATGGCCAGTGAGCTGAGCGACCTCATTGACGTGGTGCTGCAGCGGGCGCCCACGCTCTTCCGCGAGCCAAACGAGGTGGCCCAAGTTCACTCTTGGCTTAAGCTGCAGCAGCTGAAGGCGATGATGAACGCGTCGCTCATGGAGGTCACAGAGCTGTGGGGCAACGGCGTCGGCCCGCTGACCGCCAGCTACAAGTCAGAGGAGATAAAGCATCTAATCCGAGCGTTGTTCCAGGATACCGATTGGCGAGCTAAGGCCATTACGCAGATTGTATAGGCTCCATACCAGGTTGTATGCGGGTTTTTTCGAACTGCGAATTCGAGAATTATGGTGGCTATGCTTATATTTCGGTTAGAAAACGGAGTCTGAATTTGAAGATTACCATGATGTGTCCTTACTGAGTAATATTTGAATTATTGTTTGAAAAATTTACTACAAATGCCAAAAGAAATACATTTGGATAATCTTTAATTCTCCGAATGGTTTCTATTGTAATTAGAGAAGTAATAATATCAGATTTACTACTTCACTTTCCTATCCACAAAAAGTCGGTCCATTATTTCCGCTACGCAACACATTGTTTAACTTTAGACTTACATATTTAAATAAATAAAAACAACTGAATTCGATTAATGTGCCTGTTGCCGCGCTTGGAGAATGAGGAGGTACAGCTGCTCAGTGAGCAGTCTGTGATCCCGGCCGTGGGTGACGGTTAGGATGCGTTGGGCCTCCTCCAAATGGTGCAGTGCCTCCTTGCACTGGCCCGTGTAGAGCTGGATCTTGCCCAGCTTCATGTGGACCAGGCCCAACAGCGGATTCCACGGGCCGTGGTATTTTCGGAAGCCTGGCAACAAGCGTTGGCCATAATCCAGGGCGTCGCTCCACTTGCCCACTTCGATGGCCGCTTCAAAGGCCGCATCGAGCGTCTTGACGTACCACACGTTCAGGGGATGGAATACGCCAGTCTGTTTGTCCAGGCACACCTTGCACACATCGAGATCTGCGAGGAAATCAAAAAGCTGCTATAGTGAGGCGCAAGCACAAGGAATTTTTGGCGCGGCTACTCACAGGCCACGTCCTTCATGTTCTCCAGGTTGTGGAGGGTCAGAGCCATCGCGTCGTTGAAGGCATTTCTCAACTTGGGACTGATGCCTGCGTCGCAGCGCGGGCAGTTAGTTCGGTCCACACTGATGCCCACGCCACAGTTGCGATTGGGACACAGAGCCGCCAGCATTTCCTTCGACTCCTTGGCATCCGTGCACTTGCTGCACACACAGAGGAAGTAGTAGTGCTCCTTGAGGTCCAGACGCCTCTGCTCTGGCGTATTGAGCAGATCGATGTAGCTGATGAAGATTTTCGACCAGTCCAGGCATTCCATGTCCTCAATCGCATGGACATGCAGCTCGTTGCCCTCGAAGGTGGCCACCGCATTCGGCTGGCAACTGTGGTCCGTAATCGATACGCCCAAATAAATGGCCGTGGCAATCGAGTTCATGTCGGTGTCCAAGACATTGAAGCCGTTGGTGATGAGCTGCAAGAGCAGAGGAGAAAGAGCATGAGCTCTCTCGTATCTTTTGCGCCGGGGAATGTGAACCGAAGCCCTTCCTAGATCATCAATCGACTGGCAGAGCGCCAGGCATACATCATTGATTGCTATCTAATTTGGGCGACCAGGAGCGGCTGCAGAGCCAAGCGTCTTGCTTTCTATCATTTTAGCATCAGCGTGCCAAGTCTTCCAATCCGCACCTGCTTACGCGCACAGGTGCCTGCACACTTACACGACCGTAGATGCTCATCAGTTCCGTCTTGTTTGGCACCGTGCTGGGACTGTCGGCCATCATATCGGTGAGGACGGCGTGCAGCGAGTCCAAGTGCTCCAGCCGCATGGGATCGTTCTTGATTTCAGCGTAGTCTGGAGTGGGGTTAACTGGGATTAGCAAGGATTTTCCGGACTATGCCGGACATACTCACGGGACATGAGATCGCGAAACTTGCGGGAACCATGCTCGGTGTAATAGCCACGGATCAGGTCTCCACCATGCTCCAGGCGCAGGATCAGTCGGCAGAGCATTCTGGCAGCATCGGGCACTACTCTGGGATGCACCTTCTTGAGGAAAGGACACTCGTGCTTGTGCTGCGCCCAAGCTTGCATTTGGCAGGCGCGATTGCAGTAGGACACATACCGGCAGTTGGAGCACTTCAGCACCTTGGTCCTGCAACAGCGAATCCGAATCAGAGAGTACACACCTTTGCGGCGTCACATGGCAAAACTTACGCCTCCAGGCAGTTATCGCAGCGCTCCAGGCGGTACTGGGACTTCAAGACGAAGGCGAAGGGCTTCTCCGTGAGAATTCGCTGGCCCCTTTTGATTTGCGGCGTCGAATGCTTTGCGTTCTTGGATTTGGAAAGGTGTGCGGATGTGGATGTGGGTGCGGATGCGCATCTGGATGAACTAACGGTGGTGGTGGCCATTTCGCGCGAACGGAGCAACAACAAAGACTTTCGCCTGGGGGCCCGTCTCACTGACGACTGAAAATGAGCGCACACCTGAAGATTAAAAATATTGTTTCGAATGCTTTTTGAATATTTTGCGGCATCGGATTTCTATTTTTGGCCACAAAAACAAACACAATTTACGCAAATCGCTGGCAAACACAGAAACAACAACATCGAGGTGTTTTTTCGTATGCAGACGATGGCGTTGCCAGATCGCCTGGAATCCCATGCTCTTTACAGTGCGCACCGCGTATAGTTAACGAAGCATGGTAACTGCATTTTCATAAGAAATACACTTAACAAATAATGTTCAAATTTGTTAAGTAAGAAATACAAAATATTTTCTTTATTTGTTTTTCCTAGCATTTACGTTTTGTGGACAAGGAGGCAATCTTTGGAAACGAGAGAGAAAGCTATATGGAGCCGAATTCGAAAGCATTTGTGGGTGGACCGCAAAAGGGCGTGTAAAGCTATACCCAAGATTACGAAATATAGAATATATACGATTCCAGACACCAATGCCTCCTTGCAGTGCACAGCGATGTGGTTTCCGGTGCCCCTGGGGGCTGTTTTAAGATTTATTTGTAGCAAACTTAGCATAGCATAGGGACAAATTGTGTGATCGACTCGAACGAACTCCTATGAGCAGTAAACGCGGGTAGTGGGAACGGGACTAACTAATTGTTCTGGGGCTTGGACCATTCCACGCTGAGGATCAAGTGGTCGTAGCCGTGTCCATTGAGGATCTCGATGGCGGCGGCCGCATCCTTGCGCTGCTTGAAATGCACGTATGCGAATCCCTTGCAGAGTCCGGTGTTCTTGTCACGCGCCAAATACATCTTGCTCTGCGGCCCAATCTTCTTCACCAGCTCCTCGAGATCCGCCTCGGTCATTGATTCCGACAGATTCGATATCCTGATGGCGGCCGTATCGTCGCGTCCGCGCATACCCAGCGCACCTTTTTGGCTGTCCTTCAGGAAGGGGGGCACATACTTGCCGGACTTGGGTGCATCCACGGCAGCAGCGGCGGCGGCCGAGGCCTTCTTCTCCATCAGGTTGGTGTCCATCGCTGTGCCCTTGTACGGGCAGTTGACCGACCAATGCTCGCCGTTGCAGATGCGGCACTTGGCAATGTTCTTGGTGGGGTCCAGCAGCGGATCGTTGGCCTTCTCGTCCTCCTTGGAGTTGAGGAACTGCATGATGATCTCCTCGGACACCATGGTTGTCTGCGAGTTGGGGCCCGGCTTGTCGTTCTTCGACTCGCCGAATTTCGTCCAGGTGCGTCGCTTGGCCACCGTCTTGGGCACCACCTGTTTGGATATCTTGTACGTCCGCACCACCTTCGTCTTCTTGTCGTCCTTGTTGTACTTGTACTCGGTCACGTACTTGTGCCCATTCTCCACCGTCTCCGTCGTCGGAGGAAGTCCACCATAGTCGAGCTCCACCTCGTCGGCCCAGGAGGATTTGATCGTTTCAACGCCCGGCATCTGAAAGGGATTGAAGGCGCAGTGAGTGGGGGTGCACTGGCTGGTTGCTTGGGGGCACTCACTCTGTTTTCCAACACGATTTGTCTGCGAAATGGTAAATGCAAATTTCGCCACGAGTTAAGCGGATTTTTAATCAGCAACAAAAGAGTGTTACCCTTCCGCGGTCACAAAAACATACCGTGAGTCCGGAAAATGTACCTTTATATACCATTTTGCTTCTTGTAAATATACCATACAAATTACGTTAGTTTCGATATTTTATTAAAATTGAAATTAATACGTTGCGGCGAAATGTAAACTTTAATACCTTAAATGGCAAAATACAAAATAAAATACCGAAAGAACTTATTTGCAGTTTTGATTTGACTACGCTGCTTATATACAAATTCTGCCCCAAATATACCAAAAGGTATGTAAAATACCAACCAAATACCAACCGCGTGTTTTTAAATTGTATCATTCACTTTAATTGTAGACTTTGTTGAATGAAGTTTTATTTCTTGAATTACTTTGTGTTTTATTTTCATAGATCTACAGTACTAGGGCTCTAGATTAATAATACATTCAGAAATTGTTTGATTAATAGATATACAAGATTTGTGCGTCTTGTTGGTTGCTCTTCCCTACAAATAACGTACATATAAATAAATGCATCGAGATTTTTAGCAACTAATGCACTAGCTAAACATAATGTACATATGGCGGTGTGAGATGGGAAAAATTATTTGCTTTGAGATGAGTTTACAAATCTATGTACGAGTATATACAGCCAGTCAGTGGATTGCAACAAAAGTGGAAGAAAGGAAAATAATACTTTGGGTTCAAAAATAAAGCTTCCGCAAAATATTGGAAGAATATAGGCAATGAAGCACTTAAATCGTGTCCTAGGCTTTTAAAAAAGGGACTCAAAAAGAAGTATTGCACCGTGAAAAATGCTTCAGTAAGTCTTACGGGTTTTTGTATCTCAGTCAAATAGGGGGAATGGGAAAAAATAAGTCTCACACTTACATTAAGACTATCATATAACTATTCGAGCTTACGTCTACATATTTATAATATTCTGCTTACTACTGGGTTTAAGTTCCATTACGTTCTCTGACTTTTCATTTCTACCAGCCCGTCCGCTCCGTCCGAGTGACGTGCAAACCGAGGGATTCTGAGTGTGTGGTTGCGGTTCAGGTGTGGTTGTAGGGCCCGTAGAACTCGGGCTGTCCCGGATCTCACGCCAGCCAACGCGACTTTTGCAGCTCGATTTGTCCCTCCAGCGTCTTGGCCAAGTAGATGACCAGCAGTTGGATGAGAGCGATGCCCAGTGCGTTGCCGGCAATTACGTACAGATTGTGCTCGGCCCAAACTCTAACGATCTCTATGCAGCCGCTGGTCCAAATGCGTTTCCTGGCCTCCGGAACCGGCGCCTCTTGGACGCTGTAGCCGCACATGATGTTCACCAGGCCGGAGGATATATCGGTGGCATTGATGCAGCAACTGTAGGGCACTCCACACTTCTCCACGGACGGCGAGCTGCAGTTGAAGTACTCGTTTTTGCCTGCAATGAGGAGGCTTGTTAATACGAATTTCTGTATGAATTCCACTCAAGTTCCGGGAGGCCTTGGATGAGATCTAGGATTTACAACCAGTTCATGTTTTTTTTCTGATAAAAATGTAACGATTGGTACTCCCTGCTTCAAGATATGCCTGCTGCATGAGTTTACACACAATAGTGCACACGACTTGTTACATTTTTATGAGGGATCGTGTATTAACTCACTCCAGTCCTGGTAGCCCGAATTACTGAGGCCACAGCACTTGAACTCCTGTTGGGCAAAGTCAATGAAGTTCTGCAAGTCGGGATCGTCGCGGTACGAGTGGATAATCTTGTCCGTGAACTGCTTTTCCAGGAAGGTGTTCATGTACTGCGGGCAAACGAAGCAGATGATGGCTGTTTGGCAGATGGAGATATGGAGGGAGAAAGTTGATGGCATTACTGTAGCGTATGACAAGTTAAGCAGTGACTCACCGATGGCCATCTCCAGCAAGAAGAAGAGCAGCAGGCACATGGAGTAGAACTTCAGCAGGAAGGTGTTCTCACGCAAGGCGCCCAAGCAGCCAGAGAAGCTGACCAGAAAGATGACCATGCCGGCCAGTATCATTACCAGTGAGATGTTGAGGATTACATCGTAGAAATTCTCCAGCCGCACCGACCCATTGGCCTCCTCCCACTTGTCCTTGAAGGCGTAGACACCAATGCCCAGGAGGAGACCGCCAAATAGCCAGAACACGAAGTTCAGCAGGAAGATCATGTACTTGACGCACTGGCTCACGTATGTGAAGTGGTGCGGATGCATCACCTCGTGCACCTCGATGCCGCTGTAGCCACGCCCACCGGCAACGCCAACGCCCCCGATGCCACCACCCTGATAACGGTAGTTGCTCATCCTTGGCCTCTATCTGTATCTGTATCTTCAGCTGCACTCTATGTGCAATTGATTTCACTTGATTTCACCCGAGTCTCCTTCTCCCCCTCTCGCTTATCCAATCCCCAGTGGCAGTGGCAATGGCAATGGCTGTGCTAATGGCAGTTCGCCTTAATAATCTCACGGTATTTAACTAATATGCGTTTAATCCTACGCTAATGCTAATACTGCAAAGTGTACAAACAATGAACGCAATCGGATGGATTTGTATCGGTCGTGTTTATCGATAGACGATAGCGGCGCACAGCGGTTCGATAAGTGCACCCGCTACACTGAGCAGCAAAACTGCGCAACAAGTTGACCAAAGTTTCTGCAACTGACAGTGGCTCACAACAGCAGATTGCTCTCTGCCCAAATCGAAGACTGGCGTCGCTGTGTTGGCCAGTGTGGTTGGCACTCTATCACTATCACTTCCCCGCAAACGAAACCTTAAAATTGGAAACAAAATCGTTTCGGCACTGACCTTTGAGCCGGTACAACGTCTGGGATCGTCGTGGATGGATGGATCACAGCCATTGCGCCATATATGAATCAGTCGATAGAGCCCATGCAAATCTCGGGGAGAGTGGTGACCACTATCGGCATTTGGAAATTGGGAATCGTGGAGAATCGTGGAGAATCGGAAATCGCGGGCCATCGGGAAACGATAAGCAATCGCTGCTGATAGCACCGAATACAAAATACTTGGCCTGGCTAATTTCAGTCCCAGTTGCAGCTAGTGCTCCACTGCCGCCATGAACATCCTGCTGCGCTTCATCGTCTTCTGCCTGGATCCACTGGGTCTGGGCCGTCGCTTTCTCATCCGGCCGGTCGTGAATCTGACCTGGAATGTCTACGATCGCGTCCGCAGCAAGGCGGACGAGAAGGTGGGCACGGTGCGGGAGCTGGTACTCCGACTGGGCCTGATCGCCTTCGCCGTGGTGCTCATCATCTGGCTGGCGGTCTTCATGTACGCCGCCTTCTACTATATGTACATGCCGGCCATGTCGCACACCCGACCCGTCCACATGCAGTTCAAGTGAGTTGCAAAGACTACAGATATATCCTGTTACTGCCCATCGGCAGTAACCACTGGCTATCTAAATGGTGGCCGCTAAGTCCATAAATACACACCTAATCTGCCCATTTGGTGCGATTGGTGGCTATTGCAGCGTAGTACATTTGTTATCGCGCCGTTGTCAAGTTGTTTGATTCATAGTTAGCCGCTGTAGACTTAGTACCCACTGCCATAAAGGTGAATTGATGCACATATGTCGCTGAATTCCCACAGAACCTGCTTGGAGACCAGCACGCCCTGCACGTTTCCGCACGCCCACGTCTCGCTGACGAAGAAGCAACAGCTCCTGATGGTTGGCCAGGCGTACAAGGTGATCGTGAACATCGATATGCCGGAATCGCCGCAGAATCTGGAGCTGGGCATGTTCATGGTGTGCGCCGAGATGAGGGACTACGATTCGATGCTGAGGGGCCACTCCTGTCGATCGGCCATGATGCGCTATCGCTCGCCCCTGATCCGCATGATCTCCACATGGGCATTGAGTCCGCTCTATGTGCTCGGCTGGAAGGAGGAGTTCCAGCAGGTGCCGGTTGAGATATTCTCGCGCTACCTGGAGGAGCGACAGCATCCCATTACCGATGTCTATGTGGAGATACACTCGCAGAAGATTCAGTTCTACACGGTGACGCTGCACATAGTCGCCGATTTTACCGGTCTGCGGTACATCATGTTCAACTGGCCAGTGCTGTCGGCCATAGTGGGTATGTTGGCGCTTGAGCTTCCCGAATCGCCCACAGCGAACCCCCGCTAATCCTATTTCTTTCCATTTCCTTTCCAGCCATTAGCACCAATCTGTTCTTTATACTGGTCGTCTTTCTGCTCAGCTGGTACCACTGGTCCGACGCCAAGTGGCTGCACAGCATGCAAATCAAGTACGCCCGTCTCACGAAGTCGCTCGAACCCGGCGTAATCCTCACCAAAGCGAGCAGCCTACGGGATGACGACGATCTGGTCGCCTACAGTGATAAGTCCGACATTGCGGACGTGGGCGGAGACACACTGAGCGATGTGGAAGCCGATGATTTGGTGTTGGTCAAAAAGTCCGCCAGTGGCAAGCGGGAATCGCCCGATGCACTGCGCAAGCGTCCTTCAAAGAAGACCACCGCGGACCATTGAAAAGCGAGCGGGATGAGATGAGATGCGATGCGATGCGATGACACGAAAAAGGGACCACCATTTACCACCGAAGGCTAGACCACCGCCCATGCGACGCTTGAGCCAAAGACTAAATAGATTTAGACTAAGTTAGTGAACACAGCTGCCAGCTGAAGTATTCCGGCGGATTAGCCCACAGAGCTCTGCTTGTGCTTCAAGCAGCCCAACTAGTTCGACATTAGTTTACTTAAGTGGTGGATGTATAGGTATTATTGCCCCAGTTATACTTTAATTGTGTAAAGCTTTGTACATTGATGAACTTGCCAGCCTTGAGCCGATGCAGTTGCTCATTCCCTGTAACTTATGCAATCCACTGAACCATGTTAGCATTGCATTATGCTAAGACACAGGAAGCTAATTAAGCTTGAAAAGAGTGCATTCCATTTGTGATGAGATTTTGTATATGAAATTTATTTGACCAGCGAAGCGAGTCAAAGCCAATGAATTTTCAAACGAACCTTAATTAAACTGCAACAGTTGAGATCTTACAAGCAACACAATCATCTCTAGGCTTCGGCTTCATCCTGGCGCTTATTCTTCGATGGCGAACTGCCTGGGTCTGCACCTGGCGCTTCCGGCTGTGCCCGCTGTCCCTGCCATCCATCAGCGTCGTCGTCGAAGAGGATCATGCGGAGCAAGGTGAGCTGGGCGCTGAGGACATTGCCCACGTTGACTATCTTCTCACCGCGATCCGTGTACGCCAGCAGGGCGTCCTGGGCCGATTCTTGGCCAGCTACTTGGTAGTAGCCCTGCCGCTGCCTCTGCCTCATCGAGCGCTTCCTGTCCATGGAATCCAGTTCCCAGCTCACATTCTCCGCCACCGTACGCCCCTTACGGTCGTAACTCCTGTGAAAGCAGGGCAACTTGTGGAAAGAGCCACACCAGCCCGATAACTCAACTCGCAGAAACTCAAAGAAACTGATCCCATTCTCTTGTTCAGAGTCCCTAATGGTCTTGGCCACGGCGAAGTAGTCGTTGATCAGGGACACAAAGACGTTTATCAGGAGCACAATGATGACGAAGGCCAGCACGCCGTACAGCAGAATGCCCAGCCACTTGCCGCCATGGAACAGCTCCGATGGCTTCACCTGGGCACTGAAGCCGAAGGAGAAGCACATGCACATCACCATGCTCTTGACAAAGTTGTTGAAATTGCTGCTGTTGTTCCCATTGATGGTGACCACGGCAAAGCAGAAGCCAATGAGGAATATAACGATGGCTATCGCGGTGCTGGCCACCGCAGACCAGGCCAAATAGAGCGTCCGGGTGAACAGCTTGAAGACACTGGAGAACTGCAGGACACGCCACAAACGCAGCGTGGTTATGCAAATCAATATGCCGATCGTGACCGTGGTGAACTGATGCAGGCGCGACGGACGCCGGAAATCGATGAACTCCATCTTGCTGGCGCCCTCGACCTTCTTCATCATGCTGGCCACCATGGACTCGCGGATCACCACCAGCACCATCACCATCACGTTCACCAGAAAGATGAACAGGTCCAGCTTGTTCCAAATGCTCTTCAGCAGATGCGGCTCGTACCACAACTTGACCGCCAAGGTCTGCGAGAACTGAATGAAGACCAGCACGTAGATGAGCAGGGCCGCCAGCCCCGTGTAGGGCATCTGGTCGACGTTCTCCAGCAGCTTGGCGCTGTCCACCTGCACGTCGGGCACTATGCCGCCAAAGGGGGTCTTCTCCACGCGCAGCGTGCAAACGCTGAACAGATTCACGTCCGCGTTGTACAGCGTAAAGTCGATGAACACCGCCGAGGTGTTCAGGGTCAGCCAGTGGTACTCGATGAGGTAGTCTATGACCTGGCGGAAATATACCACATACCACATTAATATGCCAATGGATGAGCTGGTTAGCTGAGCGTAACTGACCTTCTGGCTATTCGCCGCGCTCCTGGCCAGCAGGCTGACGTAGCCCGCCAGCTCCGGATAGCTGTTGAGGGAGCCCACGTGGTCGAAGTTCATGAGCACGGCGTCCAGGAACTCTAGGCTCAGCCTGACGGGTATCCAGGGCTCGTAGATGCGCCAGTACTTGTCGGAGTAGTGGAGCTTCCGGTAGGGCAGCTGCCAGTCGGGCATGTAGTGCATTTCGGTGAACTTTGGTGCGTCCAGGCCGATTTCCGGATTGCTGACGCGCAGCTGGCGCAGCCGGATCACGCCCAGGAGCACCGACTGCTCGGCATGCACCCAGCCGGGTGCGCTGCCATCGGTGGCATTCGAGTTGAAGGCAATCACCAGGGTGGACTCGATGAAGTCGAAGAGCTGGTTGAGGAAGTACACCTCCTGCAGGCCCGTGTAGTCCGTGTGGTTGAACATGAACAGCTCCGTGATGCTGCGCGTGTTGTGGTACAGAGTTTGATCCCGCGTCACCAGCACCAAACACATCAGGCAGAGGAAGTACTTGCCGTAGGTGAACACATCCAGGGCGATCATCTTGTACTGCTCGTTGAGCGCGTAGTTCCGGTAGCGCGAGGATAGCACCAGATTGGAGCGCTGGCTGCGCAGGCGCTGCCTCAGGAAATCCATGCGGTACTGCTTCTCATCCGTCTCCTCGCCCACATCCTTGTCATTTCGCGGTGGTATGTAGATGCGCGGCGGCCATAGTGCCCGGTCAAGCGAGAGGATGACGAACTTGATTGGGTCAGCGATCAGGTACTGGAAGATCAGCACTATCACCATGCTGACCAGCATGGTCTTGAACTTGACGTCCTCGTGCTTGAATCCGGCGAACACCGTGATGGCGATCATGCAGCATATTATGATGGCCACCGTAATCGCGAACATGGCCCAGTGGGCCTTTTTCACTTTCATTTTCAAGCGCTTTGCCCCTTAGCCCTTAGATATATTCAAACTGGCGTGAGATAAAAGGATTGCTTTTGGATGAAAAACTTTTCGAATGTGTAACGTACTTTGGTGTGCGCAGGGGTTAATTTGAAATTTTGCAACACCACAGGGGTTAAAGGGCTCATTTTCGCGCTTTTCGCAGCGCACGCCACATTTGCTGGCAAGCGCGCGCCGGTCACACTGGCAAAAGTAAAATAAAAAATAGTTTTATTTAATTTCTTGCGAGCGAGCCACGATTATGACGAACGCCTAGCGCGATTGCCCCAGACGACCGAGCAACTGAACCAAAACGAATCAAAGCGAAACGCAACGAACGAACGCACGGAGGAGCAGGTGGCCGCCAGTTAGAGCAGCACCGAGCAGCGGCAACGGAAGCGGGCGCCATGACGATGACCGCCTCGGATAAATACACCTACCAGCGCACCGTGCTCTGCCTGGCCCGCGTTCTGGCGGGGATTCAGCCCACTCCCTGGGATAAGGTACATGTCCGCGCGGCCACACAGCCTCGCAATGCCCCACACTGCCAGCCAGCAGTGTGCGCCCCCCTGGCAATCGACTTTTCGCACTGACCTTGAGCGGCGGCCATAAAACAGACATGCGTGGGCGCTCAGGGGGTGGTGTGATGGTGGGTTGCTGGGGCAGCTTTGCCACTCGCAGGAGCCCCACTTAAGCCAACTTCGCGAAAGTGCCACTCGAATGTCGAAACAGTAGCGCCGCAGACATATCAACAGTGCAGCATATCTCCAGCTGTTGCTCACATGAGAGCCATGACGATTCGGACAGTCATGAGAGGAGTGCTGTAAGATCTAGACATCTGCTAGTCGCCAGTGACCAACTCTCAGTTGAGCAGAACCTATTAGTTAGCAACTGCTGGAGCAGGAGTACATATACACATAAGCTCTAAGATGATTAAGTGTAGGACACCGAGACATTTGATACTCCTGACTAATCTATGGCTTCTTCTTGCTAACCGCCCGCAGGTGCAGACCCTGTTCCGGTATTGTCCGCAGGAGAACGCCGCCGGAGTGTTTTGCCTGGACACACGGGCCCAGGATGCCGTAATTGCGCTGGGCATCTACTTTCTGGAGGGCGGCTGCCAGCACGAGGGCCAGATTGTGCCCTATCTACTGCGCCTGGCCAAGTGCCTGCCCAAGGCCGTCTGGATTGACGATGCCCGGAGCAACAAAGTCGAACGTAAGTCCTTGCTAGCCACGCTTGCTAGTCACCTGAGTGCCACACAGATGGGTAATGCTGGTTTTCCCATCGCCGTTCTTGCAGGCCTTCGCATACCGTCGGCGGAGAAGTTTAGCTTCTGCTTGAACACCCTGCTGTCGGACATAGCGGCCAAATGTCCGGAGTCCCGCGAGGAGATCATCCTCAACCAGGTGGAAACGCTGAGCGCGCTGGCCAACATAGTCAAGTCCAGCAGGGACAGTAGCTCGGCGCCGCCGCCCATTATCCTGTGCAAGGCCACGGTGCCGCTGTTGTTCGGCCTGGCCCGATCGATGGGTCGCTATGCCAGCAACGATCCTCCCCTGCTGTGCCGCATTTTCCCGCCCGAGCTGCTGCCCATCCAGAAGAGCGGTGGCCGCGACGGCACCGGCTCGAGCAGCAGTGCCAGCGGCACCTGCGGCGGCTCCTTCAGCAGCAGCGAGCGGCTGGCTGCCACCCATCACTTCCGACCCATCATACCGCGCTCCATGTCCGGCAGTCTGGCGCAGGCCCAGAACGCCAGCTACGACGATGGACGGCAGCGGACCGCGGGCGGCAAGCCCAGCAAGCCCTTGCTGCATAGCTACTTTTCGGTGCCGTACGATCCACGGACGCACTTCTTCACGCGTTACGGCTCCAGCTTCAACCAATTCCCCAACATGCGCGTCTGCGAATCGCCGACGAAAGGCGGCCCACGACCCCTGTATCGAGTGCCTCCGTTTCCCATCCAGCATCTGCAGACCATATTCGCGGTGTCCAAGAAGCTGCTAACCAAGGACACGCTGGAACATCTCGACGAACAGGCTAGCGATATATTTTCGCTGCACCAAATCAAGGGCTATTGCTACAAGAGCTTCTCGGAAACGCTGAACCTGGTACTGGTTACCTTGCTCAGGGAGTTGCTGCAGCATCAGGTGGATCTGCCCACCCCGTTCACCAAGGACGTGCAGGAGTTTGTGAAACGGCTCTTCCTCAACGGACAGACGGAGCTGCAGAACAAGCAGCAGGATCAGGAGCGGGAGCGACGCGAGGAGAACGGCATCGCTGTGGTCAACAAGTACAAGGTCAATGTGATGGCCAATGCGGCGTGTGTCGACCTGCTGGTTTGGGCCATACGCGACGAAACGGGTAAGCGCACATCCTCTCCGTGGAGCAAACCGATCTTCAATTTCCAGCTCAACGCTACGGCATTAAAGCAAATGCAAATGCAAATGCAATTGGCAATCTAAGCAGTAACTCATTGGCAAAACAGATCGAAAGAGAGAGGGAGGGAAGTAGCTTGAATGCCAGAATAGACGGAGAAAGTTAGACGCCCAAGTGCCATGCTTCATAGCTCACCATTCCGATCATAGCGATCATTCCATTCACTCCAGCCATCCACTGAGATGCACATCGTTCTGTTGCAAATGAGACTATTTACGAGGGTACAGGAGCAGGAGCAACTTGCTCCTGGCGTTGAACATCCATTTTATTGTCCATCGAATGTATTTGTTGTTTTGGCCATTTTGGGTTGGGCATTTATGTTTGACATGCTATTGTTTCTCGGTGCAGATTCGGCCCCTCTCTCTCTTTCCTCAGTAAGTTTTAGTTATTTGCCTTAATTTCTTTTAGTTTCTTATAGTTTTTTTGTATTAATTTTGATTTTTGGTGGCCGGAACCCGGAATATGGTTCAGTTGACGTCGACTATAATGTGCCATCCCTGCAGAATGGCTTGCAATTTTTATTGAAGAAAGGTCAAGAGCAGTGTAATCCCCAATAGTTTCGATTCTTGCACCCACAAAACTGATCGTTAAGGGGGGAAACCATTCGAAAGAGCTTGATACTAATACTCCAATTGAGAACAACACTTTCGTTTCGGTACAATTTGATTAATTGGCTTTTGTTATCGTGGCTTCCCTCTTAACTGGACTACTACTCAATACGTCGGTTTTGTGGTTTATTGTTAATTGCCTGGCCAACGTTCGCTGCATGCTGCAACAGATCCACCACCACTTTCTCCCGATCCTCTTTCTGTTCCTCGTTCCCTCGTTCCCTTGTTTGCAAACTGCCAAACGCTGCCATCGCTGTGTAGTAATTCAAACTTGCAACTGATCCCAAACAGAGGCGGACAAGCTGTGCGGTCGACTGTCGCAGAAGCTGAACCTGGAGCTCAGCCACAAGATCGTGATGGACCACATGCCGCTGCTGATGGTTTGCCTGGAGGGTCTGGGCAAGCTGGCCCACAAGTTTCCCAACATTGCTGGCACCTCGATCTCGTATCTGCGCGACTTCCTTGTGGCGCCCAGTCCCATTCTGGGCAAGCTTCACGACCACGCCATGCAATCGCTGGCCCAGCAGAAGAAGGAGAAGGAACTGACGCCCTTCAAGATCGCCGTCCAGCACTCGGACTCGCGGACGGCGGTCGTCATCTACGGGGATAATCAAAAGCTGCCGGGCAGCGGCACCGGGCGAAGTGGTCACGCTGCATTCGAGTCACTACGCGATGCGGCCATCGAGAATCTGTCGATCGCCCTGAGGGCTGCCCACACCCTGGACCAGTTCTGTGTGCCCGCCCTGGTGGCCAACGTGTCCAATCGGCTCTTCACGGCCGAAAAGTCCGGCAGGTGGGTGCGAATGCATATCCAGCATAATATATGTATATACATCGAAGTAATTGATTCATCCGCTGTCTATTTCAGTGAATCCCAAGGCGAGTGCCACAAATCCAATCTGGTCAGCCTGAACATCATTGTGATGCTGGGCCACGTGGCCGTCGCGCTCAAGGACACTTCGAAGACCACACAGAACATCCTACAGTTCTTCATCCAGCGCTTCTGCAAGGTGCCGTCGGAGCAGAATGCCCTCATAGTGGATCAGCTGGGCTGCATGATCATTTCGCAGTGCGAAACGCATGTCTTCGACGAGATCATGAAGATGTTCTCGCGCGTCACAGTGCAATCGGCCTCGTTGGCGTACACCTCGGATCCGGAGCATAGGAAGCAATTCCATCACGTTTCGGATGCGGTGGTCAATGCGCTGGGCAATATTGCGGCCAATATCCAAGGGGATGCGGAGATGCTGGAGCTGCTGGGCAAGCTGCTGGAGCTGTTCGTCCAGATCGGCTTGGATGGCGAGCGCAGCTACGACAATACACCGGGCGCCCAGAAGGCCAGCTCACGTGCTGGTAATCTGGGCATGCTGATACCGGTGATTGCGGTACTGGTGCGCCGCCTGCCGCCGATCAAGAATCCCCGCCAGCGTCTGCACAAGCTATTCAAGGACTTCTGGGCCTACTGCGTCGTAATGGGCTTCACCAACGCCCGCCTTTGGCCAGCGGATTGGTACCAGGGTGTGCAGCAGATAGCGGCCAAGTCGCCGCTGCTCATCTCGCAGACCGCCCACAAGTCCGACATGCGGGAGCTCAACTACACGCTGGCCATCAAGAGTGACTCGGTGAACGAGCTGCGCAGTCAGATTCTGGTGCTTCTGGAGCACTCGTCCGACAATGTGGCCACCGCCATCAATAAGCTCTCCTTTGCGCAGTGCACGTACCTGCTAAGTGTTTACTGGCTGGAGATGCTGCGCGTGGAGAATGCGGATGAGCCGAGCCTGGAGCCGATCATGAGCTACCTCTGTGACACGGCTCTTCAGCGGGACAAGACGGGCATCTGGCAGTGCGTCAAGTGGTAGGCTTGCTGCGTTTAATGCTGCAGTGTGTGCGTGTGTCTAACTATGCCTTTATTACAGCGTTGCCGACCAGGTCTTCGAGAAGTTCCGTAATGTGCTGTACGCCCACGACGAGATCCGTGAGAAGGTGCTGGAGTCGCAGGCCACCCTGCTGCTGGTCTACTTCAACCACATCCACAAGCCCATTCAGGTGGTGGCCGATCAGTACCTATCCTTTCTGGTTGATCGTTTCCCGCATTTGCTGTGGAATCGCCGGGTGCTGTGGTGCATGCTGGACATCCTCC